ATATTGATATATTAAATACATATGACATGAAATAAACCAGGTTCTCTCTGTGAATGTAATGTACTCTAAATTTTATAATCCCTGCATTATCAGCCAAATTATAAGGTTGTCCGTTTTCAAGATCAAATATAAAGAAATTTAAAATAGGCTTAAAATATCTAACCAAGTCAATAACAATCCTCTAACACCAGTGTCATCATGCTATACGAAAAACAGTGGCAGCTTCCCATTCCTGAGATTACCACGAATCCATCGATACCAAGTTTGTCCTGGTCCATGACTGGGAAGGAGCTGAAATATCCACACAGAGTGAACCTGTTTTTACTGCGAGGTCCGCAAATTAATTGGCGGCAGCCGCCCGCGATAATAATTCTGATTAATATATATATATATTAATTAGTGTTATCACTGATAACACTAATTAATTTATATTTGATCTTGATGGTGAAACTAAAGGCGTTTAACACTTTCTTTCTTCTTTCTTTCGGTTTTTATTTTGGTTTATAGCATTAACATAAAATTTTTCTTTTCAAACAAAACAATATTAACAATTTGAATTTAAACCAAAGAAGGAATAGGCAGAAGCAATGCTTATTTTAGCCTACCCTATTTTCCACCTAATATACATAACCAATATACATTTCTTTTATTTTCCCCAATATAAATATCCACAATGAAAATTCATTAATGTCTATACATACTTTTCGTACCCTGTAAATATGTGACACTTTACACCTGCTTTAAACTTTAGTAAAGAAGTACATTTCTTCAAATCATCATCTAACTCATTCCACAATTTCACACCAACAACAGAAACACATCTTGATTTCACATTAGTTCTGGCTTTTACACATTCAAACATAAATACACCTCTGAGATTATAATGATCATCTCTTGGTTTGAAATAAACTTTTATGCAATTTGGGATATTATTATTAACTACTTTATGAAGAATCTCTAAGATTTTTACTTTAATAATGTCTCCTAATTTTAGCGTTTTCGTTTGACTAAATAGATAATGGGTTGGTTCGAGGTATCCCAATTTATTAACTATTTTAATCGCCTTTTTTTGTAATTTAAATACTGTCTCAACACACGTTTTACCTGCATTTCCCCAAACCTCTGCACAGTAAGACAAATAAGGCATAACTAAAGAGCTATAAATCAAAAACAAGGCTTTTTTATTTAGTATATGAATAGTTTTATAAAGTATAGCAATAGATTTAGACACTTGCTGTTTGATATATTCAATGTGTGGTTTCCAACTGAGTTTACTATCAATAATCACACCTAGGAATTTAGTTTCATATACTTGTTCAATTGGGACTCCATTTAAATACAGCTTAGCACCGTCATTGTCCCTGTTCCCTGAAAATATCATAAATTTGGTTTTATTTTCATTTAGTGATAGCTTGTTGTAATCAAACCATTTTTAATTGAATCCAATTCGTTTTCAACCTCTTGTAATAATTTACTCATATCTTTTCCCATACAAATGAAATTTGTATCATCTGCAAACATAATAAATTTTAACCGAGACGATACAGAAAAGATGTCGTTCAGGTATAGGTTGAATAATTTCGGTCCTAGCACCGAGCCTTGCGGTACACCACATATTACTCTTTCAAGCTGTGAATCTATATCATTAACATTTACATATTGAAATCTACTGCTTAAATAACTTTCAAGCCATTGATTGGTTTTACCACGAAGACCATAGTATTCACATTTCTTGAGCAGGTATATGTGATCAATTGTATCAAATGCCTTACTCAAGTCAATCAAGACAGCCACTACATGAAGTTTTTGATCCACTGCTGTTGCAATCTGCTCTACCAAATCCATAACTGCTAATGAGGTTGAACGATTCTTCCTAAACCCATACTGATGGTCATTTAAAAGATCAAACTTGTTGGTAAATGCTTCAAATCTAATTACAAAAAGTTTCTCAAGTATATTTGAAAACTGTGGCAGTAAAGAGATAGGTCTATAGTTACAAGCTAATAATTTATCACCACTTTAATAAATAGGAATAACTCTGGCTATTTTCATTTTTTCAGGGACTGTGCCACTTGAAAATGATTTATTACAAATATAAGTAAAAGGTTCAATAATGCAATGGATAACCTCCTTCATGAGAGACATATCTATCCCATGAAAATCTAAGGACTTTTTACTTTTGAAACTATGTACCGCTTGGATCACATCACTTTGGCTTACACTGCTCAAAAACATTGTATTATTATTTTTATTTATTTCATGGTTAATGTCAACTTCTGGCAGCTTTTTAGCTAGATTAGGGCCAACATTCACAAAATATTTATTAAACTCATTTGCAATGTTCTTTCCATTTTTATTGTGAATATCTATACCTGCTTCTTTTGTATTTCTTATTAATTTATTTAACACATTCCATGTACCTTTAATATTATTTTTGTGTTTTAGGAAAAGCTGATCATAATATTCCTTTTTTTGCTTCCTTATTATAGTAGTTAATTTGTTTTTATATTCCTTATACCTTTTTTCTTTTTCCTTTGTTGGATTTTTTATAAAATCCAGATACAGTGATTTCTTTTTCTGGCAAGCCCTTTCCAATCCCCTAACAATCCAGGGTGGGGACCTTTTTTTTAAGTTTTGCTTATGATATTTTAGAGGACAATGTCTATCATAAGCTCCCAAAATGAACACTGAACACCTAACATGAATGCAGCTTCTGAGAGCTAGCTAATATCAGCTAAAACTGTGTTCTGCTGCTCACCTTCCTTCTTGAAGAATCTAGTCAATACTTGCTTCTGTTCGATTAACTTTTTCTCCTTCTCCTTCTTTTCTTTTCTGGAAGCCAGATTTCCCTTTCTTGGGAAAAGACATGACTGACTCTCCTGCCTCCAGCTCTGGCTGTCGGCATCTGCGATGTCTCACTAGCACATGCGGCAGTGCAGCCCCTGGCAGCTGGTGTGGACTAAACCACTTTACACATTTTTAAGGGGTGATAGATGCCTCAGAGATTATTCAGTTATTATTTTTAAGGCGAAATTCTGTTTCTTAACCTCTTTATCCAGGTAAAGGGAAGTTTATTAAGACATTAAGTAAGTTGGGGGGAAAAAACAACAACAATAAAACATTTTTATTCAAAGCTGTCTCAGGGCCCCTCCCTGCAGTGGGCCCTGGGTAAACGGTACCCTTTCCCCCCCCAGTCCGACGCCCCTGCCCCTCCCTGCAGTGGGCCCTGGGTAAACGGTACCCTTTCCCCCCCCAGTCCGACGCCCCTGCACTGACAACCAAAGTCAGAAGCATCCACTTTAAAGTACTTCAGAGTACTGGATGATGTTGGATAGGGCTCGGTATCGCACTGATATCAAAAAATGAGATGTTTGTTTAAAACGTTAAAATGTTTGTGCAAACACAAAGGTGTAGTGGTCATAGTAAGCATTAATAGGTTATAATAGGATAAAATTAAATAAAAGCATCAGCCGTTGCTGTAATAGTAATAATGCAGGCCAGCAGAATTTTTAATTTTCTACAAAATAGTTGCTTTTCGATAATACTGACTATCTCAAACAGGAAGTGGGACATAACAATCTGTGTGGCCACATTTATGGAGTCCTGGAGCAAACAAACAATAGTGTTTGAGTTTGATTAGGTGGGTTAGTGAAGGCTTGTGAAGTCAAAAGTCAGGATTGTTTTGACTGATTTGTTGTGATGTCAGACGTGTCCTCACCAGCTGAGCACTGTTCATCTGACAATGAAAAAGGTTTTTAACCCTCCCACTGTCTTTATGGGTGACCCCGCGAGGAAAGCTGACCATTGAGCAGGGTTGATGGTTTATCCCTTGGGTCCACGTGGCAGGGGTGAGGAGTGAGCACCACCTCACCCCTGCCACGTGGACCTCAAGGGATAAACCACCAATCCTGCTGAATGGTCAACTTTTCTCACGGGGTCACCCATAAAGACAGTGGGAGGGTTAAAAAAATGTAAACTTGTTTTTTTCAAACAGGAAAAACATGAACATATTTGGATTTCACAGCTAATGTTCAAACATTTGGTCAAAATAAACGTTATAAACTTTTGTTTTGTGACCTGTAATCGGTCGTTTTATCTGACGGACTCACATTGTCAGTCTGTGAGGGGTTTATTTGAATTGTTCAGGGCAGATTGATGGAAAACTTTTGAATCTGGCTATCAAGAGAAGGATGTTTCCGCCCTCTGGCGGCCACAAACTTTTACTACAGCCTTCATAAAGCACTTCCTGTAAATTCCTTCAAAATAAAACATACTCGTTAAAAACTTATTACAGGTTTTAAATGTGTTAGCTACATATTTAGTTCAGGTAACAGAAAAAACAGCATGTCTTCACCACAAACTATAACTACGATCAAAACAGAAATGCAGTTATTTTTGCTGTTTGTTTATTGTCTAAAAGTTTTTTAATTGCTTGTAATCCAGTTTGACCGATGGCCACACACTCTTCTAAAATGGATTTAAATGAATTATTTAGTTTATTGTTGTTATGTTTTTATCTCCCACTCTTGGTGAAAAAGTTTCCTTGCACTTTTAAAGTTCGTCTTAAGACTCATTTTTATGTTGCATGGCTGTTTTCTTTAATACAATCGTTCACATTGATGCTGCAATTATTTAACATGACAAAATCATTGTATTTACAGTTTATGTATTTTATGCCATTGCTGTATTTACTTAATATAATCTTAATGTTTATTTTATCAAATGTATCTAGAAGCTTCATCTTGTGGCTGTGTTAATCGACAGAAAAAATAGAAGTAGTGTTATTATTATTATTATTATTATTATTATTATTATTATTATTATTATTATTATTATTATTATTATTATTTATAGGAACGCATGACGCTGATCCAAATTTCAAATTAGGTGTCGGTTCAATAACCGACCAGCAGAGGGCAACATTAATCTGTTATTGGTCAGTGATGTACATCGTGCAGCACCTGTGTGTGTGCGTGTGTGTGTGTGTGTGTGTGGGGGGGGGGGGGGGGGGGATCGTTTGAGCGCCCCTGCCCTCCGCATCCAGCCGCTCCACAGCTCTGTTGCGCCACTTTCACCATGGCTTTAGTCGCAAGAAGGACGCTCATTGCGCTATTCGTCACGTTTTGCGCTTCTCGATGCGGATGGGCAGGTAAAATAAAAACTTGTCAAATAGTTATTAAGCTAGTGCAAGTTTGCAGCTTTTTGTTTTGCTGCAGTTTCTGCTAATTGCCCATTTTAAGCAAATTGTTGTTGTTGTTGTGTGTGTGTGTGTGTGTGTGTGTGTGTATATGTATATATATATATATATATATATATATATATATATATATATATATATATATATATATATATATATATATATATATATATCAAACGGTCCAGAATGAAAATAAAACACATTAAATGAAGAATTTAGCCACAATTTAATGCAACATTTTTTTTTACTAATTTCCCCTTTTTTTTTATTCAAAATCGTTTATTTAATTAGGAGCAGTTGCAGAACTTGCTTGACTTTGACAGTGTTTGTATCGTGTTACTTTATGAGGGAAAATGTGAGGCAGAAACGTCATCATGTGCTGAAGTAACTGGTGACAATTTTCAGTCGTGAAAAGGAGAAAGTTTCTAATGGCTGGCTGCTTTTGATGCCTGACTGGTGACAAATCAGGCTGAAAGTGGTGATAAATGATCTGCCTATGAAAGTTACTTGTTTCTGTCAGACCTGTGTGTCTCTTGTCCTCTGCATCCTTTATCGGGTGGATTATGCTTGATAGCACAAATATTTCTTGCAGTTTTAACAAAATATGTGCAGCCCTTGTTTGCAAGCCACATCAGCAGAGAAGTTTTAAAGTTTCTGAAGTGAAGTTTTCAAAATGCATCTTCAAAGAGAGAATCCCACATGCTCCCAGAGAAAGTAAAAAGTGTCCCTCATATATTCCAAAAGCCATAAAGCTCTGGGAGGCTTTGAAAGGAGGAAGTCGTTTTTTGTACCTGAGCTTAAAGACTAAACTCCTGTTTTCCTAAGTTTCTATCTGAACTACGGGCTTTTTAATGCATGAGCTCACTGCTTTCACTGACAGCTGCTTTTTGTTGAGTTTTTCTCAATTTAATCAACGTGTTTGTGCCCCTTTTTCCCCTCCCCGCAAGTCTGCTTCCAAATATCCATACCTGGGAGCTACTTAATCAGTCCGCTGCCGCTGACCACATATGAAGTTAAACGCTTCCTCTTGGGAACAAGTCGATGAGTGAGTGGAGAGTTCTCCACTTACACATAACTAATTTATCATTTTAAAACCCATCACAGAGGGAAAGAGTCACCAGGGACACGGTGGATGGTCAATGTCAGCTCCTTTATTGGAGTTGTGGTCTAAAAGCTTCTAGAAGCTGTGTGGAACATAGAGGAGAGAGGGAATCATGTTCTTGCAGGCTGGTGGACTTTTATCCGTCTGCTCCACTAAACATCCTGCAGGTACACACAACGCTTTCCAATTAAAACTTTAAGATTGAGTTATATCATAAATCCTAATTTTAGCCTTGGGAAACATAGATCAGTAGTTTCCACAAGATCGGGTCAGTGTTGTGGTTTTACTTGTTACCCCACCCTCTCACCTTGATGCTTTGCTGCTTTGCTGCTTGTCAAACCTGCCAGCTACGGTATGGTTGCCTCTTTTTGTCTCTGGGCATGGGTCCAACTGTTCAAACAACCACCTGGACGTGTGAACACACCCATCTCAGTGCAGCTAAGGTCAGCAGGCTGGGAGGGCTGCAGAAAACTGTAGAATACAAAAGTTAGACATCAATCTCCCACCCTGACACAGAGACATATTTAAATAAAAAGCCTAATTTATGTTTTAGACAGAATGACAGCTAAATGAATGAGTTATTGCAGAAACAATGTGAGAAAGCAAGATTGTGCAGCAAGAAGTTACACTAAAGATCTGGCAGCTCTGCTAAAGACAATAAAAAATGCTGTGGACAGAACATTCTTTAACAAAAGTCATAGATTTTATTTAAACATCGAAGTTCTTACAAAATAAAATTGCTTCACTTAAAAAATGTACTCATTCTGGCAATGAAAGTGTTTCACGACAAGTGCAATAAAAGAAAAGTAATTAAGTCACTATCAGAACAGCGTATTCATCTCACCAGGGTCACGGATGGACGAAAAGCAGGGAACAACCTGGACAGGTCACCAGTCCATAACAGAGACAACCACTCACACTAAGGAATGGTTTAGAGCTACCATTCAACTTAATGCATGCATGGGAAGATCATGCAGAAAAGCTGCAGCCGGCAATCAAACCTGCAACCTTCTTTCTGCAAGGCAAAGGATAGTCTAACAAAATTTGAACATCCCTTATTTCCTTATATTTATCTATAAATCTAGGCTTAGCATTATCTAAACATATCAAAACACACTCATCTGTCTGAAAACTGCTATAACAGAAACAAATGTAATCCTTATAAATACAACATTCTTTAATTTGGTAAGTTCCTCTCGAGATAATTGTCCTTTTGCTTTGTGCCAAAACAGCTGAAGTGAAAACCATTTTGTTTATGATACTAAAACATTTTTTCATCACAGAGAACTGAAGCTTTCCAGAGAGAGTGGTTTCTGGTTTATGCATGCAGAATATTCTGTTGCTTATCCACAGTGAGCACTACGGTTTTAGACTTTGTACACATTTCATTTCACTTATATAATATATATATATATATATATATATATTATATATATATATATATATATAATATATATATATATATATATATATATATATATATATATATATATATGCACGTGTGAGTTTGTGAGTCAAATTATTAAAGTAAGTCCAGTAGCAACAAAGCCAGGTCACCATCAGTCCGTGACTTTTTAGCCTCCATTAGCTCCATGTTCATTCTGGCTTTAGCTCTTTGCTTCGCCTCCAAAGACAATACACTCCAACAAGAAAAGCAACTTCTTTGTTTTCTCCTTCTTGTGCTTTTCATTGATGAGCGACAAACTGAAAAAGCTAACTGCTAGCATTACACTTAACAGCTGTAAAGCAGGTAAAGAGCGCCCTCTATAGAGCACCTACCCGCTCCACAAACTTATCAAGTGCAGTTTTTTGTCAGCAGAGGGCTGACCAAACGTTTCTAACTCAACAATCATTGAGATCAATGTTAAAGCTCTAGCTTAACGTTAAAAAAAACTATCTATTGTTACTTTAAAATAGGACTTGAGACCGCAGTTCTATCATTAAAACAGGCTTAGTTTCTTGCATCTATGTTCATTTACCAAAAAAGATCAGAAATTATCAGGAGAGAAAAAACAGAATCAGAATTGTGATAAAAGATTAGTCTAAACCAGGGATCCAGCAGGTTTTGGGGGTTTTTCTGCTCCAACAGACTTGATTCAGTGGTTGAAACACCTGTGCAGCAGCTCATCAGGCTCTGCGGAAGCCTGTTAATTAGCTGCTGATTGAAATCAGGTGTGTTGAAACAGAGTTCAAACTAAAACATGCTGGATACCGGCCCTCCAGGGCCACGATTGCTTCTCTTGGTGAAAATGCCTTGTATGTTGTGTTTTTCTGAACCAGCTGCAGACAGAATCCCAGTGGAACCCTATGATCATTTAAAGTTTGGGAGAAAACAAAGTTATGAGCAACAAAAAGCAAACTTTTACAAAGTGAAGGCTGAGGTGAGCGGGTTCTCTTGTGAAAACAAGCGTTGCAGTTGCATAGATTTTCCGGGACAGCTTTACAGCAGTTATTTGACCTCAGGTCTCACTGACTTTTGCCTCTTCTACCAAACTGTGCGTGCACGTGGGAGTTTGTCTGTGGGACATCAGGTGTGCACATGTGCTGCAAATCCCCCTATAGTCCCTGAGTTCCTGTTTTCATTCTCCACATGCTTAATATTTTCCATTGTCTGACTCTATCTGTGTTTCTATTTTACATTTAGAAAGAGAACACAAACATTTATTTATTTTTTTGGATGTTGTTGTGGTCTCCTGTGGCAACGCCCTAAAAACCAAACCTCCACTTGTCGGATTCTAACATTACCGCTGCTCCGCTGCTTTAACCATTTCCTAAATTGTTTGTCCTTTGTGGTGCACGAAGAAGTCTCGGTTTAATCAGAAATATCTGATTTGCTCTTGGATCATAAATCAACAAAGAGACCAAAACACAGAAGGCTGTCTGGACAGAGAAGTAGATGCCTTCCTATGTAATAGCACAGGCTTATTGGAAACAGAAGTGACTGAAGTACGTCCAGACGTGTTAGCGGAGGGTACTCCTCCATAATCCTGCATCAGCCAGAGAGAGCAACTAGCAGTGCGTGTGTGTGCATGTGTGTGTGTGTGTTTTAACTGGCAAAATGACCAGTAATTTTCACACTTCGTCATATTCATGTACAATGTCAGGCGCTGTCACAAGACTGGCAACGGATAACAAAAAACAAAGATGAAACCATCCATCGGGAGTCAGGAAAATCAGAGGAGCTGTGTCCATCTGTTAGCTGGAGAGGTTTTAGGGTGGGAGTTATTTAAAAATGGCAAATAAAGCAGAGCAGAGGCGGGAGCACACCTGCAGGCAGAGACTGTGGGAATGCTAAAACAAATGAGCTGCTGTAAATCTGTTTAAAGGACCAACACTGACAATTATGATTGCAGTAAACGTCCATCTGAGGGGTCAATTTACTTCAGCGAGCTTATTCTCAAGAAGACGTTCCTGATATTGGAAGCCAGCTATAAAATATGCTGCAATCTATTCACACCAAGCTATAAGACATACAACTGTTTCGCTTCATTCTCACTGCTCTCATCGGCGTAGTTTCCAGCAGCAGCTGGGAAAAGCAGCTGAAAAAAGTCAACCCAATGCATCCCACCTGCGCTGGATCAAACCGCAGACAGATGAAGTCAGCAACTCGCTTGTGGACATAGTGGAAAATTTAAGGCTAGAGTTTCCCTGAGGACGCAGTGGAAACCAAACAACAGACGGAGTATTCTTCACATGGGCTAAATCTTTACAGCAAATGCTAACGTATGTGCTGGGTGTATAAAGGGGGGAACTTTGTTTGCTTTATAAACGTTGACAAGATGTGTTGTGGAGTGCTGTCAGAGAGCTCTCACATGAAAATCAGAGAAGACTGAAGAAAATAAAGATTGTTATAGCTTTTGACAGAATGCACACAAATGATTTTACAAATAAGCAGGAGACTATCTCACTGAAATGTCTTATTAAGTCCTTGTCTGTGCTTTTAGCCCCCCAAAGGGCAAATTCCTCTGCTTCAACCGTAAAGATGATTTATAATCTTCTCCCAAGACACCATGGAGTGCTTCAGTAGTCAACGATATTTGTCAAAGTGTCATAAAATCCTGATTTGTGCCAATAAATTAAGAACTACTTAAAGGAATATTTGCTTGTAGCACCCCCTAGTGTCCGTTTAGTGAAACTAATCTCCTTGCTGTGCTTTTATTTTTTTAACACCTTAATCTAACTGCTGAAAGGTCTCCTCAGCCTTCGTTAGTGTCTACAGAAGCGATTCATCACTAAATTAAAAAAATCTGTGGTGTTAACGATCTAAAACGTGCAGAAAACTTGCTGGAAGCAGACTCCAGTGCCAGGCATGTCAACTCCACTCAGGGACCGGACAGGCACTCTGAAGTTGCAAGTGCGATATTCTGGCCACAGAATTCTGGCGGTGGGGGTCTGAGTGAAATGTCATCATATATCGATTCATTCATTATTCAGAGTCGGGTCGCGGGGGCAGTAGCCTAAACCAAGATGCCCAGAATTCACTCTCCCCAGCTGCTTGGGCCAGCTCTTCTGGGGGAATTCCAAGGCGTTCCCTGGCCAACCGAGAGAAGTAGTCCCTCCTGCGTGTCCAGGATCTTCCCTTGGGTCTCCTCCCAGCTGGGCGTGCCCGGAAAACCTCACCAGGGCGGTGTCCAGAAGGCATCCTTACCAGATCCCCGAGCCACCTCAACTGGCTCCTCTCAACGTGGAGGAGCAGCGGGTCTACTCCGAGCCCCTCCCGGATGACCGAGCTTTTCACCAAATCTCTAACGGAGAGCCCAGCAACTCTGCGAAGAAAACACATTTCAGCCGCTTGTATCCACGTTCTCGTTCTTTTAGTAACTACCCAAAGCTCGTGACCATAGGTGAGGGTAGGAACGTAGATCGACCGGTAAATCGAGAGCGTTGCCTTCCGGCTTTAACTCTCTCTTCACCACTACAGATCAGTACAACGCCCGCATCACAGCAGATGCAGCACCAGTCTGCCTATTGATCTAATGCTCCATCTTTCCCTCACTCATGAACAAGACCCTGAGTACTTCAACTCCTCTACTTGGGGCAGGACCTCGTCCAGGACCTGGAGAAGGCATTTTACCCTTTTCCGATTTAAAACCATGGTCTCGGATTTAGAGGAGCTGATTCTCATCCCAGCCGCTTCACACTCCACTGCGAACCGCTCCAACGAAAGCTGGAGATCACTATTTCATTATCCATATAAAGTAATTTTAACACATACTTGCTCAAGAAAAAAAATGAAAAAGTTGCATAGTATGCCTTTAAAATGTATCCGTTTGTCCAAATGCAAAGCAGACAGTGCCAGTCCTGGTGGGAGTCCCTGTTACTGTCCTTTTTTCCCCTTCAGATGTTGTTGTTTATGTTGTTTATGTTGTTTATGTGCTTAGCCGACGCTTTTACCCAAAGCGACTTACAAATTTTTTTTAACCTATAGGGCATGTTGTGATCCACATAATTCATTTTATGCTCATTTCTAAGGGATAAACTACCTTCTATAAGGATAATATTTGTATGTTCTGAGGTAGAAGGTCGGTCAGCAATTAAATGTGAATTCTTAACTTGGGAGGGGAAAAGTCTTGAGGTCAAAACTTTGTCTTGCGATGAAGAATAACAGATGTCAAGATTAAAGGAGCGTGGTGAATGTGTTTTATCATCTTTTGGTAAGAATAAATGCGAGCCAACATCTGATTATGATTTACTTTGAATAGAGTGAACCTTTGAAGTGCATGGCTGAAGTGTAACTATCAAATACGTGGTTTTAGTTAATGACATTCATCAGCCGTAGATTCCTGAACAGCCTCACTTCTGAGAAATAGCTTTTACATCCTACAGCAATGGTGTGGTAATCGCTAGTCTAACCAACGACATTTCCTACCATCTTAAAACAAGCATAAAACCAAATAAGAAGGAAATGTGTAATTAAAACAGCAGGTTATAAACAGGATACAAAGCAGCAAAAATGTTTAAACCAAATCTTAAAGTAACACAAAGCAGTTTCCTGCTCCTCCATCCTACTGGTTGAAAGTGGAATTACAATTGTCTTGAGCAACCCTGGAACTACCAACATGCTAACAATGAGCTAACACTAACATAAGCCTACTCTTATAAGCCAAAATTTAAAAAGAGCCACATCATTGGTCAAAAAATTGTATTACTTACAAGTCCAGTAGCAACAAAGCCATGCAGGACACCATCAGTCTGTGAGATTGTAGCCTCCTTTAGCTCCCTCGAACTAGTTTAGGCCGTGTTGATGTTCACTCTGGTATTGTCAAATGGCTTTGCTTCTAAAAACATTACTTTTTTATTTTTACTTCAAGTCTCCGCCATGATGCCAACAAAAAAAGCAAACTTCTTCTTCTCTTCGTCTTGCGCTTTTTATCGACGATCGACCAACTGAAAAAGCTAAATGCTAGTGTTACAGCTACTAGCCCTAAAGCAGGTAAAGAGCTCCTTATGTGGAACACTGAAAAAGCATTTCTTTATATTTTCGTATTAGAATCCATGACTTTGTATTTTCATGCAGGCTGAACATGAAAATAGCCTCCTACACCTATCTCCTGCATTAGCTTCTGATAGAAAATAGACAGTGAAACTCTGGGATTTGAAAAGCCTGACATATCTGTCACACTGTTACATAACATTCATGAACTCACCCATCTTGACTGGTGACAGGGAAAGCCGTTGTTGGTTTAGCGTCCGGGAAACAGCAGAGAACGTCTCGACTAATAGAAGCTAACTGTTAGCATTAGCTACGCCACCACACAGCAGAACTCCACCAGGATTGCATTATTTGTGGAGACAATTCAATTCAATTCAATTCAAGTTTATTTATATAGCGCCAAATCACGACAAGCGTCGTCTCAAGGCACTTCACATAATAAACATTCCAATACAGGTCAGTTCATTAAGCCAATCAGAAAAAAGGTTCCTATATAATGAACCCAGCAAATAGCATCGAGTCACTGACTAGTGTCAGTGACTTTACAGCAATCCTCATTCTAAGCAAGCATTTAGCGACAGTGGAGAGGAAAACTCCCTTTTAGCAGGAAGAAATAGGAGATAAAACATCACTGTTGCAAGTCAGTGGTAGTCACATTGCTGTTATGCAATCGGAGGCAGGAAGCCCAAATATCAGGAAATAAGACTCTACAATCTGCTGTCTGAAACTCAGTGTGATGTGGCTCACTTCTACTTCCTGAAAGTGGTGCACCAGTGTTTTTGGTGCTTTCCCCAGAGTATTACTTGCAAGGCATACATTCCTACCAGAGACCACTGCAAATTTATTGATTAAATGAGTTACAAAAGATGCAGGCAAAACATTTCTCTTGGCCCTCGAGGAAAACTAGAGAATACCTTCAGATCAATAGGATTTAACATTCGGTACCAGGGACTTTGTTTAATACTGTTTAGATAAACGTCCTGAAGTCAAAATGATTCTGACATCATTTGTTTTGCAGCAGACAAGCCTCTACGGCCTCAAAATGGGAAACAGACAGCTGTGAACAAGGTCTTAAGGGAGACCTGGCAGCCTTCGATCCATCTGGACGGAAGACCCGTGGACGGCTTCGCCATGAGCTCCAGCAAACCCACCCGTTCCCACCGCTTCACGAAAGTGAGCAAGGACAGCCGCTCGCATCTACTGGAGGACGTTGGTAAGACAGAAACAGAGCAGGTACCCGTTCACTGTCTGACCAAAACTGGAATCTGAACATTTAAAAGAAGTTACAGGGAGGGAAATAAAGACACGATAGTGTGAATGATTCAAATTTGGCTCTAGCTATGACACGGGCCTTCAAATCTCAGAGTTCTCCAGTTTCTCAAAGCAAGAGCCAACAGCAATGACAGGATGAGCGAAGCTGTATACAAAGTGGACTCAAGGAGGCGAGGAGCGTGCGTATGAGTGCATGTGTGATTGATTTATTTTCTGTGGATTAGTTCATAACTGGATGTACTGTTGTCAAAGTTTGCCAGACTAGCAGGTCAGGGCTGGTTTACGTAACTAACCCGTTAAAAAACATGTTCAGACTCTTGGCTTCTGCAACGATTTAATTTCTGCAAAGCCAAATTTGTCTCTAAACAGAAGCCCATATTTCTAAGGTGGTGCCGTCTGCATTTGTCGTTATTCTGTTTTCTTTTGTCTTCAACACCTCAGTTTCTAAAGGTCTGCAGCCAATCCTTTCCAAACCCAACCCCGCTCTCAGAACCCGACCGTCTGTGTTGTGGTTTCTCGTTATGAGCATGTGCGCAATATAAGTGTGGGTTTGTAGTGGTTGTGGTGAAAGCTAAGGGTGGTTCAGAGCGATGAAGTCATGCATGATTTTGTATTGTGTCTCAGTTTGTCCAATAAATAAATAAAATAAAACTTCCTTATGATGCATTTGGGTTTGTGCATGGTGCCCAGTGGACGTCGTGGTCCCGGCAGCTCCGGTCTAGGGTCGTCATAAATCTGATACGAGTCTCCGTGTTGCCTCTCCAGAAATTCCTCAGGATGCATGTGTTGTTCCATGCGCCAGAGAGAGCTGTGCCATTCTTCATAAATAACGCCACTCTCCCCGCCTCCTCGTCATTAACGTGTCTGGCTAACCACAGTTGGAGCAACAAGGAAAAAAGATGATCTATTAGGAGCAACATGGAGGAAATAGTCCCACATTTTTCCTGAAAATAACACATTTTGTGTCTTTTTTGTTTGTTTGTTTGTTTGTTTTTTAGATCCAGAATTAATTAAACTGGATGGCTTTGCTGTGTTGGTAAATACACCCGTCAGCAACACATCAGCAGGTAAATCTCACCAACTTTCCTTGAGAGCGGTGCATCTCATTAAGCAGATAAATGTTTAAATGAAACCACATATACCAGGGCTATTATGGCCGTCAGCATTAATGCGATAATTACTCACTTTGCTGTTTAGAAGGGCAACAGTTTTCTTTTCCTTCATACCTCTGCTTGCTCTTTTCCTGTGGGATCATTTAGGAAAACAGTTGTCTGTGACTCACAGAGTCTGTACTGTATTAGGTATATTTTTCTTGTGGGTGATCCAGATTTAACATATTTGTCGGAGCAAGCATCCTTTAATGATGCGTGCCACATAAAGTACCACAGAATAGCCTGTCAGTAGTCACTTGTATAGATGGTTAATGAACCGGATTAAGTTGTTGTTTAGGGATTTTGTCTGGAGATTCTGTCGCTCCCGTTTTCCTGATGGTGCAGTATGTGCAGAAATTGTGGAAAATGACTTTGAACCATTAGATCTGGGTGTAAAATTGGATGCTTCTCAGGTGATTTTCAGGGAAAATGACAACTCTTAAACCTGAAAGCCAACAGAACCCACCAACTTTAAGTTCACTCTTACTTGGAGGACCAGACAGATGATTACTTTCTTAGTTAACCCTAACCCAAAAACCATATTTTTATTTTCATTTTAGGTTGTTTTTTCAAGGCATAAAAATTCTCCTGCAGTCAATTTAAAGTCACATCTGGATTTTCTACACTGTAAAACCTGATTAGTTCCACTTACTTAAAAAATGCATCCTAACCGATTGCACTTAAAATTATTAGTAAATTAATTAGTTAATTCCATGCTGTAGTTCTTTTTCGAAACACAGAGCAGTTCTGTTTACCTGAGCGTCAGCCTGAGGAAGTTTGCAGTCGCAAACGAAACGTAGCGGGAAAACAGGTGAACAGAACTGCTCTGTGTTTTAAAAAAGAACTACAGCATGGAATTAGAGATACGACACAGCAAGAACACACCTAAGATAATTAGTTAATTGTATTGGAAAATACAGATGTCACTTTAAATTGACTGCAGTAGAAATTGTGTGTGTTGCATAGACAAAATCCTAAAATGAAAATAAAAACATGGTTGTTGTTATACATAGATTGGAATTTTTAATGGTTTTCATGAAAAACAACCAATCAGTCTAGAACCGTTATTTTAGATTAACTCTTGAGTTTTCATTTACATTTGTTTATCCTGCAATACAAAGGGCGTTTTGAGCTTCCCGTATGTACTCTAAACACATGAGTTCTTTCTGTTCCTGAGAAGAATTCTTTCGTTTTTCCAAACTTTGATTATGTGTTTGGCACCGTAGCGAGGAACACAGACAGAACTCATTCTCCAGTGAAATGGTGAAAACTACTGATTAAACCGACGACTCAGTGCTAACCAGAGATCCTGCTCTGAAGTCTAAATGTTCTGCTGTGGAGACCGACTTAATCGTATTTGCACAATCTTATTTCAGCAATCAAAGCCAAATCACATGGTTTTTTTTCCTGCCCATGTACTTGAGAAATAAACCTCTGAGAAAATACACTGCTAAATAAAAGGGCTGCATGATGGCACAGTTGCCTCGCGGCAAGAAGGTTGCAGGTTCGAAACTCAGCTGTGGCCTTTCTGCGTGGAGTTGCGTGTTCTCCCCATGCATGCATGGGTTTCCTCCGGATTTCTCGCACAGATCACAACATGCCCTGTAGATTCACAATTGTGCGTCGCTTTGGACAAACATATCTGCCAAATAAATAAACATAAATCGAAGATGGTAAAAAAAGGAATGCATTAATAAAAGCTGAAGAAAAGTCTAGCTTCATATAGTTATTAGATTATCTAATTTGGGGTTTAAATATGAAGTAATATTGATAAAGAACTATTTACTGTTGAATGTTATAACCATAACTATATGTTTATGTTTATGTTTCTGTATTTAGCAGACGCCTTTGTCCAAAGTGACTTACAAGTGATAATCGGCATGCTGCCCTTGAGGCTAACAACAACAAAAACAACAACAACTTGACATCAATCATGGAGCGGAGGGAACAAGGAGTGGACAGTAGAGAGGGGGGACGGGTGCAGGGAGGGCGCTAGTTTAGAAGATGCTCTCTGAAGAGCAGGGTCTTCAGGAGTTTCTTGAAAATTGAAAAGGAAGCCGCTGTTCTGGTAGTGCTTGGTAGGTCATTCCACATTTGTGGAACAAAGCATGAGAAGAGTCTGGATTGTCCTGAGCGTGGTGTAGGCACTGCTAGCCGACGATCCTGTGATGACCGGAGCGGCTGGGCCGAGACGTAAGCCTTTGCAAGAGGATTCAGGTAGAAATATATGACATATATGATAATCTATTTAGAAGTTGACCACCTGTGGATCCTCCACCAGAGGGCAGTAGTCATATATGAGTGGATGCTGCAGGTTTCTGATGAAAGTACTAATCCTAATACTCCATCTGGAAGTGGTTTGATGAGAATTTAAGCCAATAGTCACATAAGGATTATTCACTTCATCTCAGAATAAGCTAAGCTTGTTTTCATAGATAATGATCAATAACAGGGATGGTTGATCATATTTTCATTTGGAATTAGTTCTCAGCATCCTTTTCCAGATATCTTATAAGTACTACTTTTATTCAATTGTGATTTAGAAGACAATGATCACAGGAAAAACTAATGTTTCATGTTGAACGCAGTGACTATTTAACTCTGTCTTAAAGCAGATATTTCACTTATTTCTGAGCTGGCATCATGAAAGTACCTCTAGGCTTCTGTAAAACCTGTTGCTACTGATTATTTTGATTCTAGGAAAACCTGCCATCTCCGTAGGTCCATCTGTAGCCCACTTATCCAAGGTCACAGACATTGCTGATCCTGCAGAGAAGCCCATGGATCTCTTTCTTTAGTGACACTCCAGCTCTTCCTAGGGAATCCCAGGATGTAGAGGACATACGGCCCTTCCATTGGCCTTGTTCCAGCTCCTAAATCTCCAGAGTTGGGTGACCAGGAGATATCCTAGTCAGATGCCCCAAACACCCAAGTGGCTCAAGATGATTCTTTTCATGTTATCTCCAAGACTGAACCCAATGACCCTACAGAGGACACTCATTTGGTCAATTGTATCTGGATCTCATCCAATTGGTCCTCATCCAACTGTCACGGTCATTGGTGAGCCCATCTTTCACACCTTCCTACAGTCACTGGTGAACAAAACACCAAGATACTTGAACTTGAAGACACTTGGTGAGTAACATGAGCAGTTAGCTACGAAATCCAAACTTGTGAGTAGAGTGTTGAAACAGGAATTCAGAGATAGTGACAGAGCATAAATCTTGAAAGTGGTTGAGTTCCCCGAGGCAGAGTAGTCACCCAGAGGAATGTATGCATGTTAGTTTGCAGACCAACCTAAAAGCATCTTGAGCCACCAACAGGAGATCCAGCATCAGGAGTGTGGGGTTATTTGGCTTGGGTTTTAGAACCAATGTGCACAGTGAAAGGTTTTCAAAGGGATCAAAAAGAAAAAAAAAGTAAAGTTTAAGACTCGACCTAAATTCAAATATTGCTAAATTTGATTAAAAACAGCACAAGAAAATATGATCTAATTGACTTGGACACATCTTACACAATTTTCCTTAAAGCATGATGCATTAATTGTTGTTCTCCTAAAGACTTGAGGTTAGGAAACAGTGATTTTAAGAAGAGGTTAAATCATCACTCATCGCTCTTTGAAGTGAAGGAGTTTTCTCAACTGTTGGTAAGAAAAAGAAGAAATAAAGGCCAAAGACAGACAAAAGTTTTGTCCAAGTTGAGTCAAAATCAGAATTAGCTTCATTGCCAAATAGTGAGACTCACGTTTCCAGGAATTCGCTTTGTTGGAACAGTGCAGACATACAGATGCATTATTCACAATAAATATTTAACATAAGAGAGAAGGGGAAAGAAGCTGTCCTTGTGGTGCAAGGTTCTTGCCCAGATTGACCTGAACCTCCTGCTCAAATGGAATGGTTTGAAAAGACAGTGGCCAGGATGAGTGATGTCAGCTGTAACACACCTCAGAGCCATGGAGGTGTGCATGTTGTGGACAGATGAGATCTGCAACAGATGAGATCTGCTGAATGCACGACATGCTGTAGTCTGTTTGTCCATCACAGTGGCCCCGGGTGCCACACAATGATAGCGGAGGTGAGGATGGACTCGACGATGGATGTGTAGAATTAGATAGACCATTATCATTGTTGGCATTCTGAGTTTCTTAAGCTATTGGTAGGAAGAACATCCTCTGCTGGGCCGTTTTGACAAGGGGGGGGGGGGGGGGGGCAGTGTAGCTTACACTCTCCTGAAGTCCACAATCATCTCTGTGCATTCAGGTTGTTGTTTTTGCACCAGAACGCCAGATGTTCCACCTTCCTCCTGTAAGCGGACTCATCCCCGTCTGAGATAAGGCTGATAAGGGCAGCAGTAGCTCAGGTGGTAGAGCGGGTTGCCTCATGATCGGAGGGTCATGGGTTCGATTCCAGCTCCCGCCAGGGGTATCCTGCTGTTGTGTCCTTGGGCAAGACACTTCACCCAACTTGCCTGTGTTAGTGGTGGTCAGAGGGACCGACAGCGCCAAATGGCAGCCTCGCCTCTGTCAGACCTCCCCAGGGCGGCTGTGGCTACAAGTAGCTTACCATCGCTAGCAGTGTGTGAATGTGAGTGTGTGAAAGCGTCTTTGGGTGTCTTGAAAAGCGCTATATAAGTTCAATGCATTATTATTATTATTATTATTATTATTATTATTATTATTATTATTATTATTATAAGGGTGGTGTCATCTGAAAACTTGACCAGCTTCACAGACTGGTGGATGGAGGTGCAACCGCTGGCGCACATGGATAATAGAAGAGGGGAGAGGACACAGCCTTGAGGGGTGCCAATGTTGGTGGGACCACAAGCTGAAGCAATTGCAGCAAATTATTTCTTTGTAATTTTCTTTGTTCCTTTTTACATTTTCTTTTCACAAAAACAGCTGAAATTTCTTCATACTTCTTTTCAAATCCACAACCAAAGAGGACATATAATCTCAGCTGGTCTAAGGGAAAAGAAAACTACATCACAGCATTTCGCCCTGGTAATTTCTTAGGTTTTTATCACTCTCACCTTGTCAGCTGACTCACCCAGCTGAGCTTTCCTCTGCTTAATCAGAAACTAGAAAGTTTCTTTTTGTCACATAATAATCATGAGAAATTGTGTGAGAGGAATAAAAGAATGGAAGGGTGAAATGGACTTAATACTTTTATTCTGGCTCCGCCATTGTTCATTGCTTCATCAGCCATATGATCCCCGTCATGAAACAGTTAATTGTTTCATAATCGGCGTCTGAGAGATTGTCAAAAGTGCAGCGACTACTAGAATTGGACTCAAAGCAGAACACCAGAACTTGGAAAGGACGATGGGGGACACATTGCAATTCCAAAACGTTGCCTTTTCCTGATAAATAGATAGATAGATAGATAGATAGATAGATAGATAGATAGATAGATAGATAGATAGATATTTTTATTCGGTCAACAACAACAATTTATCAATTTTACATAAAAGTAATCAAGCAACCGAAAAAAGGAATAGGTTGAAGCCTAGTGGCTTATAATTAGCCTATCCTTAACTCTCACAGACATAATCAAATCCTTAACCAAGGCTGATAGCTAAGGTGCATAACATTTAAAGAAAAAACAATGATAAATCAAGAAATCAAATCAACACAAGGTTGGACATCAAACTAAGTTTCTATAACTTTGGAAGATGCAATTTTTTAAAATTTTCTTGAAAAACGACAAAGAATAACACATCTTCAGTTCATCATTAAGTCCATTCCATAACTTCACTCCCAAAACCGACACACATCTATACTTCGCATTAGTTCTCACTTTAGGTATTTCAAACATACAGGTGCTGGCCAGTAAATTAGAATATCATCAAAAGGTTGAAAATATTTCAGTAATTCCATTCAAAACGTGAAACTTGTACATTATATTCATGCAATGCACACAGACCAATGTATTTCCAATGTTCATTACATTTAAATTTGATATTTATAGGTGACAACCAATGAAAACATCAAATCTGGTATCTCAGAAAATTAGAATATTCTAAAGGCCAATGAAAAAATGTTTGTTTCTCTAATGTTGGCCAACTGAAAAGAATGAACATGAAAAGAATGTGCATGTATAGCACTCAATACTTAGTCGGGGCTCCTTTTGCCTCAATAACTGCAGTAATGCGGCGTGGCATGGACTCGATCAGTCTGTGGCACTGCTCAGGTGTTATGAGAGCCCAGGTTGCTCTGATAGTCGTCTTCAGCTCCTCTGCATTGTTGGGTCTAGCGTATTGCATCCTCCGCTTCACAATACCCCATAGATTTTCTATGGGGTTAAGGTCAGGCGAGTTTGCTGGCCAATCAAGGACAGGGATACCATGGTCCTTGAACCAGGTGCTGGTGGTTTTGGCACTGTGTGCAGGTGCCAAGTCCTGTTGAAAGGTGAAGTCTGCATCCCCATAAAGTTGGTCAGCAGCAGGAAGCATGAAGTGCTCTAAAACTTCCTGGTAGACGGCTGCATTGACCCTGGACCTCAGGAAACAGAGTGGGCCAACACCGGCAGATGACATGGCACCCCACACCATCACTGACGGTGGAAACTTTACACTGGACCTCATGCAACGTGGATTCTGTGCTTCTCCGCTCTTCCTCCAGACTCTGGGTCCTTGATTTCCAAAGGAAATGCAGAACTTGCTTTCATCAGAAAACATAACTTTGGACCACTCAGCATCAGTCCAGTCCTTTTTGTCCTTGGCCCAGGCGAGACGCTTCTTGCGCTGTTTCTTGTTCAAGAGTGGCTTGACACACGGAATGCGACACCTGAATCCCATGTCTTTCATGAGTCTCCTCGTGGTGGTTCTTGAAGCGCTGACTCCAGCTGCAGTCCACTCTTTGTGGATCTCCCCCACATTTTTGAATGGGTTTGTCGTCACAATTCTCTGCAGGGTGCGGTTATCCCTAGAGCTTGTACACTTTTTTCTACCACATTTTTTCCGTCCCTTCGCCTGTCTGTTAATGTGCTTGGACACAGAGCTCTGCGAACAGCCAGCTTCTTTAGCAATCACCTTTTGTGTCTTGCCCTCCTTGTGCAAGGTGTCAATGATTGTCTTTTGGACAGCTGTTAAGTCAGAAGTCTTCCCCATGATTGTGGTGCCTTCAAAACAAGACTGAGGGACCTTTTAAAGGCCTTTGCAGGTGTTTTGAGTAAATCAGCTGATTAGAGTGGCAGCAGGTGTCTTCTATATTCAGCCTTTTCAGAATATTCTAATTTTTTGAGATACCAAATTTGGAGTTTTCATTAGTTGTCACTTATGAATATCAAATTTAAATGTAATGAACATTGGAAATACATTGGTCTGTGTGCATTGCATGAATATAATGTACAAGTTTCACGTTTTGAATGGAATTACTGAAATATTTTCAACCTTTTGATGATATTCTAATTTACTGGCCAGCACCTGTAAGACCCCCTCAAATCATATTTTCCATCTCTTAATTTAAACATACTTAAAATACAAATTGGAACATTCTTTTTCACCACTCTATACATCATTTCTAAAGTTTTAAGATATATAATGTCCTTAAATTTTAACATAGCTGATCCTACGAAAAATTGGTTTGTGGACTCCCTATATCCAGCTTTATTTATTATTCTAATAGCTCTTTTTTGCAATTTAAAAATTGAATCCAGATATGTTTTGTATGTTTTGTGTGTTTTCCCCCAAATTAAATGACTCTGTTTACAATCACTGCAATTGGAATTAGATTATTTATCAGCAAATGTGTTATGAATGGGATGGTTGTGTGCAAACGTTTTCCACAGCAGTTGAGTTTCAACAAGGCCCCAAAGGCCGGAAATGCACACATCAGTTCAAATATGAATTACGAGGACATAAAATAACATCAACTAAACTGTGCTTCCTTTGGCCAACAGGGTTGTTGAAGTCCTCTCAAACCACAGCCAGAAATCGCTCTAGTGCATGGAGAACAAGGAGGGTGGACAGAACAGCTCACCCTGCTGGTGCGACCTTCACCAGGACTCACAGGAGAGCACCACAGTCCTCATCTGGTCCTAGGCAGCCGGAGAGAGCTGTGGAAGGAGCTCCGCCTCTAGAGAGAAGACGTCAACACCAAACCAAACCTCAGGCTGACCAGAGAAACCGATACACACCAAAAATCTGTAAGAAAGCCAACATCTCATTTTCTAATCATCAGTTATTCGTATGCAAAAATATATATTTGTGGTTGGCTCACATCAGAGCATCAGAAACAACTTTAGATTTGATAAATAAGAGGCTGTACATTACAAATATGTTAGCTATAAGCACATACTTTGTTTGGACGATCTTTAGTGTCCATAGTGTAAACCCTGGCCGTGCCTGGTATCCTTTTCTATTCGTAGCGTCTGAGTCCGTTCATGTGGTGTCACTGCAGGCACAGAAGGCCCAGGGCCAGAGCGCACCCTCCAACCGAGCAGTCACCACCAAAACCCAAATCCCAGGTACCCAACACTCATTTTAAGAACAACGTTAACCTTTACAGAGTCACTTCAGACCTTGTTGTCATGTATTTTTGTACGTGTGTTGTGCAGAGCCACCTGAATACGAAGCCCGGGACATCAGTGTCAGGGTCATGTCTCCAAAGTCTGTCCTGATCTCCTGGGTTGACCCTGCTGTTGAGATGGGAAAGGTTGACCCAGGGACATCCAGGTAGGACTTTTCTGAAGGACTCTGCTGGAGAAGTATGTAGGTGCTTCATCTAATAAAATAACTAAAGAGAATTTAAGGTACACATAAAGAGGCTGTGTTTAAAGGTGTGGAATAATTGTTTAATCAATAATTTTGAGTGGTCTCTGGTAGGAATGAATGCCTTGCAAGCTGTACTCAGGGCAAAAAAAGCCCAGAATTGCTTGGATCAGCACTGTCAAGTGGCAGCAGACTGCACAATTTGGACTTTTATTTCCTGATATTTAGACATCTCACCTCAGATTGGATAACAGCAATGTGACTCTAACACTGACTTGTAATGTGGATGTTTTATCTCCACAAATAACGCAAGCCTAGAGAAGTTTTCTTTGTAGTGGTGTTGCTAATGCTAATGGTTAGCATTTACTAGTCGGGGCGTTGTCTGCTGATTCCCGGATGTTAAAACCTCAACAGCCTTCCCCGTCACAAGTCAAGATGGGTGAATCCATGAAGGTTAGGTGAAGTGTGACGTAGATCTGCCAGGCTTTTCAAATCCTAGAGTTTCATCATCTATCAGACGCTAATGCATAGGTGTAGCAGACATTTTTCATGTTCAGCCTGCTTGGAAAAACTCAGAGTGGCTGATTATAATCAGAAAAAAAAACATAAAAATATTGTTTTTAAGTGAACCACACCTTTAAAACAAGAGTTGTTTTCAAATAAAACCTTTGTTTTTCCTCTGAACTTAGATCATACACAGTTAAGTTCAGGGAAAAAGGCGAATCAGCACGCTGGGAGTACAAAGAAAGCACCCAGAGGAGAATGATGATCGACACCCTGTCTGCTGACGGCATGTACGAGTTCTCCATCAGAATTTCTCAGGGAGAAAAACACAGCAAGTGGAGCGTCTCAGTATTTCAGAGGACTCCTGAGTCGGGTATGTACTGCCTCTGTGTGCTGAAAAACATTTGCTCTTGCATGACCCCTCCTGTTAAGCCTTCCCTACTTATTTCTTTATGCCACACCTCATTACAATCAGCACCTATAACTCCCATGTGATGCATATATTTTTGGCTGCAGCTCCCTCATGATTGGAGCTGTTCTACTATATCACAGGAGCTCCTGAGCTGTGGTTCATTGGTATGTCAAAATTTACAGCCTGGCCCCCAGTTCAGATCTCCATCTGCAGCTTCATACAAATTGTCATGGTATAGTTTCTTTCAGTTTATGGCAGCTGTACTTTGCTCTGTTGAAGAAAGTTTGGCACAAGAGTCCCTACTCTTATTCTACATGACTAGAGCAACACTTTCCTGAAACTTTAATACTTTGTATATGCTGTTACTTTTATCCAACTGCTGCTTTTTTCTGAATTTCTATTCATTGTTGCTCTCCTTTCACTGCTAGCACCATCTGGACCACCTGAAAATTTCGAGGTCAAGCCATTACGAGGAAAGGGAACTGCTGTCACTGCAACTTGGGATCCTCCAGAGGAACCAAATGGCCGAATAAGAGGTAAGGAATGTAAGATTAAAGCTAAACCAGTACCTAAAAAAATACATACGGAAATACTATACTGTCTGTTTTATACAGTTCCTCTTATTTTTCTGATTTGTTAAAGTGATACTAGGCAGTTTTGGCTCTGTTAGTCAAACCAAAAGCAAGACATCTCCTCACTCTGCGTTCGTCTTTTTAATTCAATTCAATTCAATTCAAGTTTATTTATATAGCGCCAAATCACGACAAGTGTCGTCTCAAGGCACTTCACATAATAAGTGTTCCAATACAGGTCAGTTCATTAAGCCAATCAGAAAAAAAGTTTCCTTTATAAGGAACCCAGCAAATTGCATCGAGTCACTGACTAGTGTCAGTGACTTTACAGCAATCCTCATACTAAGCAAGCATGCAGCGACAGTGGAGAGGAAAACTCCCTTTTAACAGGAAGAAACCTCCAGAGAATCCTGGCTCAGTAGCACCTTAAAGTTACAGTGTTTAGTTTCCTGGCAATAGGGGGCAGTATATACATTTCAGGGTATTTTTACACCATATCGCCATGATTGTCGCTAGTTTAAAAAAACATTACAATAAATGTTACCTGTGGATCGGAAAGCATGCAACCTTGGCGTGACTCCTCAGATTTTGATGGTCCTTCAGTTAATTTCATCGTGAGAATTCAATGCAGATTGTAGTTTTCTGGCATAGTTTCCGGATCTTCTCGGGGACCTGCGCCTGTTTATGACGTTATACTATGGCAATACCACATATTCGATTACATTCTGTCACATAGGTTTTGGAAAGAGTTGAGCAGTTTTGTTATTAAATGCTTACTGTCTAAGTGTTTTCAAATGTGGCAACGTAGCTTCCATTAGTCCCAGCCTCTACTGTGATGTAGTTGACAGGCACAGGACTTTGAGCCAGCCAGAAAGAAACATGGCGTTCAATATGACACATCACACCCTTTGTTCTTTAGACCCGACTTTTATGGTTAAACCTTATGAAGCCGCCAATATTTTTCAAAGACTGAACATCATTTTACTCATTTTCAACAACATTTTGATGGATATTTCCAGAGATTAATGGTAAAAATACACAATGTCACTTTAAAGGGATACTATGCAGTTTTGGCCGTTAGCAGAACCATAAGTGAAACTTATCTCTTCACTGCGCGTTCATCTTTTTAACACCTTAATCTAACTACTGAAATGTCTCCTCATCATTTATTAGTGTCTACAGGAGAGGTTCATCACTAAATCAAACAATTCAGCTGTGCTCACAACTTAAAACATGCAGGAAGTTTGTTGGAAGCAGACTGCAGCTCCAGGCATGTCAGCTCCACTTTTTTGAGTCCATCGGGGACTGGACTGGTACTCTGAAGTTGCAAGTGTGGGATTCTGGCCACAGAGGGAGGAGGGGTGAGGGGTTGCTCTTAGTGACATTTCATTAAACCTGTAAAGGGTCATTTTAGCACATACTGGCTCAAGAAAATGAATAAAAATGTGAAAAAGTTGCATAGTGTGTCTTTTAAAGATACAAGCTTTTTGGCACAGTTTTATAACTCTGTGCTTTATAGCAGGGGTGTCCAATCCTCCTGGAGGGCTAGTATCTAGCCGTTTTTAGTTTTAACCCTCCTTCAGCACACATGGTTTCAATCAGCGGCAGATTGACAGGCTTCTGCAGAGCTTGATGAGCTGCTGCACAGGTGATTCGACCACTGAATCAAGTGTGTTGGAGCAGAAAAACCACTAAATCTGCTGGACACCGGCCCTCCAGGACCAGGATTTGGTACTCCAGCTTTATAGGCATTAAAATAAAGATGCTTGGTTACTATTTCTCCATAATGATTATGTTTTACTTCCACACAGAATACATCTTGTCTTATGCCCCTGCTATGAGACCATTTGGAATGAAAAGTGTCACATACCGTGGCAGCACCACTACAGCCACCATAGATGGCCTAACCCAAGGAGAACGTTATATTTTCAAAATAAGAGCCACTAACAGGAGAGGGATGGGACCACAAAGCAAGGCATTCAGCGTTGCCATGCCACAAGGTAAGCATTGGATTTTGATCACATAATGTGTATCTGTAAATTTGAATGCTACACACCTCCATTATTATAATTAGTGTTTTGATTTGCCAGCCAACAGAGCTGCCTCTTCCTTTTCAAAGTCCAAGGACACCCAGAGGACCAGCCACCCTTCTTCCAAGCAAGATACTGATAATCCCAACTTTCAGTCAAAAGAAAAACCAGAGGAACCAACCACAACCCCTAAGTCACACCACGCTTCAGATGCCAGCAGGCGTGCACGTCCACTTTCACAGACACGTTCCTATCACAGCATCTTCTCTTCTGTCCGAGGCTCAGTCAGGAATGGAGTGAACAGAGTCTCAACCAGACCAAGAGCAAAAGAAGACGAAGAACAGGAACATGACAAAGTACCTACAACCCCACCTCCTGCAGAAGAGACAACCACAATGGAAGTTGTACCAGAGCCGGAACAACTTGACAATGATGTCTCCCTTTTATCCGAGGATGAAGTTGATTTTATTAAAGAACCATTGAGCACTGAAACCCCCAGCCTTAAAGTTTTCACACCCTCCCCAACCAAACCTGTGCTTCAAAGTCCTAAACGGCCAAACAGAAGGCCAGTAAAGATCAGGGTCCATCAAAAAGCTGGATCCAAGGATACTTCCTCTTCATCCTCATCATCCCCGTCCACCACCTCATCATTCTCTTCCTCACATACTCAAGATGTATCAGTGAGTAGAAAGGACCATGTAGACGTTACATATCCCGAAACACGAAACATCTACAATCAGTCCAGCACAACACTAGTTAAATCATCTTCTACGGGTCAAAAAGACATCAGTTCACATAAGACAGGCGCTACACCGGTAGGTACAAGCTCATCTTCAGCAGAAAGTAGCAGTAGTTCTGGTTCTAAATATGGTTTTGGCCGGAGGCAACCTGGAATTTTGTTTAGAGGGAATTTCACTCGATTGCTTAATGGCCTCAAACCGACTGTGAACACACAGTTTAAACCAATCAGAACCCAAAGCCAAGTCACACTAAACACACTTAGTTCAGCCAAATCTCAGTCCACCCTACCAGAAAGAACACAACACCGTGAAACATCAGATGGTTTAGATCCAACAAGGTCACCTTCAAGAAGTTCTTTAGACAGTCATGCAACATCCGATTCAAATGATTCAGACCAATCACTGTCTGGGTCTCATGGTACAAAAACGTCACTAGATACTTCATCTACTTCATCTACTTCACAGAGCAGTACAAGCCACCGATCGACTGTAGACACACAAGGTGCCTCTGAATCAGCTCCACAAAGAACATCTCACAGCTCAGCAACGTTACATACCGCACAGAGCTCACATGCATCACTGGACGGAAGGGCATCGTTCAGGGAGGGTAATGGAGACATGATATATAAACATGTAGAACACACAGAACCCAAACGTGAAGAGCAAATTCTAAATTCTAAAGCCCACGTCAAAGAGGAAGATGAGGACAAAAGAAAAGTTGAAACCACTAATAGAAAAACTATATCTTCTCGTACTAGAATAAGCTCTTCGTTTGCTGAAAAATTTCCCTGGCTGGCAAGTCGTTACCCGGGTAAATTTAGCACGAGCACAAGGACATCAACTACAAGGCAGAATGGGAGGACCCCTTGGACCAATAGGGTTTCATCATCTGTTGGGGCTGGTAGACCACTTTTGGTAGGGGCACCCACAAAAGTCCCAGGAGCTGCAGGTACTTCAGGAGTATCTTTAAAGCAAGAAACCAAAGAAGACCTGAGGACTTCATCCAAATATGACTCATCGAAAAATAGCGTTGGAGTGAGTACAGTTATGCCTGCTTTAAACAATCCAAGTACAGACACTAGTGACGCTAGGAATCCTCCTACTTTTTCATCTTCTGCAACTTCTACATCTTTCAAGTCTGGCTCCAACCCACTTAGAGAACCTACTGGTGATCCCATCCACAAAGAAATCTCAAATAGTGGTGATCATAATAAGGAAAATCTCAGCACAAGGGTTAGAGAAGGGAATGGAAAAATTCCAGATCACAAAGCAGCCCACACAAACTTTACATCTACTTTAGTTGTCCACAGGAATGGAGATGATGAGAAAGTGGACACAAGAGACATTTCATCCAGGACTTCTACAGGAGTCAATTCAAGTCAGCGCCGCTTTGGCGTTGGGATGAATGGAAGGGTGCGCTCTTCCCTTCTCACCAACAGACAGTTTGGTGGCTCGAGGCTTCCTGTCAGACAGGTGCAGAACTCTCGACTGGGTGGTGCAACGTCATCCTCCTTTGATTCCTCTTCTTCTGTAAATGTTCCCAAGCCAGTTTTAAACTCAGAGCAGGATGCAAGTAGTAATTCTAAAGCAACAAGGACATGGGGTGGTAACTCCCATGCAGCATCATCTACATCTAGAGATAGTTTGAGAACTCAAGGGACTAGGTCACGATATCCCATCATTAGAGGGAAACCAAACAACGGCGGAGGATTCAAACCGAGCAACGGAAACGGTAAAGTCGTTTGGTATGTTCATATGACTAAAAGCTGCTGACAAATTCAGTTTTATGCTATAGGCAGTGATACCTCCATGAACTAAAACGTCATTGTTTTTAACTGTGTGATATTGAATTCAAATGAATTGTAACATCATGCCTTAAATCTATGACAGCTGGTAAAATTGGACAGTCCAATTTAACTGACAAAGAGACTACTTCGTCTCGTGGAACTAGCAAGGCCTCTGGGCAGAAGTTCATCACTGGGCCTGACGGATCCAAATGGGTAATAAATGGCTTTAATCGAAATGTGCATACTCATAGAAGATGAGATTTTCAAATTTCCTATTTTTTAGTCATTAAGCTGATATCTAAGTCCTCAAGAGAATAATTAGAAAAACATCTTCTGACTAGATTGTCTCGCGACATTAGTAACATTTTTGTCTATTCAGGTGATCGACTTGGAGCGAGGAATCCTCATGAACCAGGATGGGAAAGTTCTCCAAGACTCCCAAGGCAAGCCCAAGAGAGTGGTCCTCGGAGAAGATGGACGCACCATTTTTGGTGATTTGCTTAATTCATGTGATCTGATTTGTGTAACATATAAACATAGAAAACCAGAAGATCTGAGAATACTAGGGATGTGTATTGGGAAATTCTGGCGATACGATACATATCACGATACAGGGGAGACGATAGAATATTTCACAATAAATTGCGATACATTCAGCCAGATGGTATTAGAAATTTGTTTATACTGAAATTAATGTAGGAAAATTTCAATAAACAGTTCAAACTGATAGCGTGTTAAACATGAGGTTTTTGAACCGTAATAGAGGGATTTACATTTCAGTGGTGGGAACAAAACCCAATGCACACTGCTGCCAACTAGTGGTCAGCATTTGAATTCCACCAAAAGAATGGAAAGTGTTTGCATGGAAATTCTTCCAAGAATTCGAAACACAGCTTTTGAATTTTGATATAGTATTGCAGGAAATAAATATTGCCATTTATTGCCATATCAATATTTTCTTACATCTCTATTCCACACTATGAAAAAGGTGAAAGTGTGTGATTTGTGCTGATATTGTATCTTATATCGGTATCAGTCATTACTGAAGGCTGCAACATCGATATTGTATTGGAAGAGAAAATGTTGTATCGGGACATCCCTATCTAATCAGATTTATGCAGCTGTTTGAATGCTAGCTAAACAATAGAAAAAGTTGTTTATACTGTTTACCATTATTTTAATAGGTTGTAAAACACAAGCCTGAATTTGTGCAATGCTTTGAATTAAGTCATCGATATCAACTTTTCCCTTCTTATGCTACCCAATCACATTTCTCAGACCACATGGGTAGTCCCCTAGTAAGTCAGGAGGGCATCGCTCTGTTTGGCCATGGCAGAGATAGTCAACCTGTGATCAACCCAAAAGACAAGTTTCTCACAGTTGGGGGTAAACCTGTTCTTGGTTTGGACTTGCTTCGGCCAAGAACCTCCGTTGTTACCACCACAAAGGCTCCTACTACCACTGTTGAACCAACAACCATTGAATGGACAACGGAGGAGTTTACCACAGGGCTGCCGTACCCAACCTGTCCATCCGGAACCTTCTCCAAAACAGATGAATACGGATATCCAATTCTTGACCCAGAGGGAATTCTGGACTGTTATCCAGAAGGTGAGTGATGACACTCATATAAGAGTGATGACACTTTATAAGATAAAACTCTAAAATAAAAGTTTTGTTATTGTTTTTTTTTATAGTGCTTCGGTTAAATAAACACTCATACAATCATGGATAATTATGAACTCGGTTGTATTCATAACCATCTGGGCTAAGTTTGGGAGTTCTTCCTGTTGGTTCCCAAAGAGGCTTATAACTGTCTAAATAACTTTGCGATCTAGTGAGTGTGTAAGTGTGAGTCTTTGCGTGGGGGAGCTAGCTGTGGTTACACACACCGTGCTGTCCACTACATACTGTCAATGATGTTACCACAAAACATACACATAAACACGTTGTTACAGCAGAAACATGTGAGAATTTAATGTTAATGAACCACCTGAAGCACTTAGAACGTCATGCAATTCATTTTATTGTGATGTTGCAATATTAGCCTTAATGGAATTGTGAAATTGATGCTACCGCTTGTTCTGTTTCTCTGACAGAAGAATCCTCAGGAATGGAAATGGACCACATGCCTACAGTGTCGATGGTGCCTGATGCTTTAGCTCTTGAGAAAGGTATTGACTGGGATTGGCTTTGGACCAGTTGGTCTATCGCCACAGAGCTGGGATAGTCCGAACTGCACTGCATGCCCATTGTTCGCTGACTGTTAGGCACTGTTTATCTGTTCATTCCATTAGCTTGCCAGTTATGTCCCTTCTCTCCCTCCTTGCTCCTGCCTGTGGTCTTTATGTTGATTCTTCTTTTGGATGTTGGGCTTGCTTGGTCTTAGTTCATTACTGTGGTTTTGGATCATTTTCATTATCAGCTGTTTTCAATCATTTCCACTCCAAAAACCTCACATTGTTAAGCTAAAGAATGATGTTCCTTATGATTTCAGTCTATTTATTTTCAGCTTTGCTTAAGATTTAAGCTTGAACCAAATACTAACTGAATGTACAGAAACATTAGCATTAAAAAAAATTGATTCCTTTAAGAGTATTTTGCTTCTAACCCTTTCTTTTTCCTTTTAGCAATGTTATACTGAATCAAAAATTATTTTTTTTTAGCATTTTTCCAAGCATTGCACTGAGCTGGTTGCATGTGTGTGTCTGTGTGTGGACTATGATGTCATGTCAAGGTCCACTGGTGCAGGATGCGATTAAAACCACGATGAAAGAGGAAAGAGCTCATCATTTTCACCCTCTGAGACCCAACATGTTTGTGTGGTTTGGAGACTTTTGAAACTATTGTCACACATGGAAACTATGGGCAGCAAAAGCACATCTTTGAATATCAGCTCCTTTCAAATTGAGCTTGCGCATGTGTTCTCATTTAATTAAACTAGTCTGACACCCTCACTACACAATAATCATGACCATTGCCAAGGAGAAATAAGACTCAACAGCATATTAGTAAGTTAGGGTGGATATATAGTAAATCTGTTCATCAAGTTGTCATTAATGTGTATGCTTTTTAGAAGAAATGTTTGTACATACCACCTTGTTACCAACTACCACCACAACCACCACCACGACTACTTCTACCACCACAACGGTCCCAACTCCAGAGCCTCACAACCAATCACCCAACAGAGGTCCGTCATCCGAGTTTGATCTCAGTGGGAAGAAGCGCTTCACAGGTACTTTATGCACCTTAATTTATGTACATCAAGGAAGCTAAAGCTAATCCACTGTGATCCATCAGTTGAAGAAATATTGCAGTCTGCTACTCTCTTATGCTCAAATAGGCCTGCTCATATAAAATGTTTTGCAAAAGTTTTGAACGCACACATTTTGGGTTGATTGCAGCTGAAAATCTGTTTTCATGGAATTTGGTGTCACCAACAGCCGCAGTCCAAAGATTAATTGGATTTCTCCTCTTTCCATGCTTATGTTACCAATTTATAATCCACTGTTTTATAGGAAACAACAATTAAGCCAAGTTTCCACTCATGCAAACTTCTCTCTGGCCTAGGTTGAGTTGCATCTATTGATCCACACAAATGTGATGTTTGACCTTTGGCCTTTATCAATACACTAATTAGAAATACAGTAGTTCAGTTTAGGTCTGCTTTGTTTTTCTGCTTAAATGGCCAACAGCTTGGAGTCAGGAGTGATGCATTTCACCTAAAATACAGCGAGAAATACATGACACTGGTACTTTAAATAATACTTAGTAAAACAGCAAAGCTGGGATGCAATGGGTTGTGGTTACTATGTATGATTCTTACCCGTGCTGTGGAAGGCTGAGTGAAGCACTGTGAAAATGCGAAATGATTGCAGCTGAATTAAAGAAACAAACAAATTAGAGAATTTCTCGGTAGCAGCAAGTCTTCATCTGGTTTCCACGTGCAAGACTGATCGGCATCTGAACATCATCATTTCAAAGCTAAAGCAGGGGTTTGGTTTTGAAGTTTGACTAGATTAACCAAAATGACAGAAATTTAAATATTAAACATATATTTACCAGAAACACCAGAAATGTTTATAGCAAAGCAAATATCCATATCCTGTTTATACCGTGGTGGGTTTTGCAGGACCAAGATTCCAAAAGAACTTGATATTATTGGTTTGGTTTAATCTTTTCCAGAAGTTGGTTGTGAGTTTCCAACCCCAGATCTTCGGTTTCTGTTATGTGAATGACAGATCTCTGTTTAATAAGAACACCAAGTTCCTTTTATTTAAAAAAAAGTCCAAATTCGATTTATTTTGTGACAAACCTGCAGATTAATGATCACATTCTCCATGAAACTTGATTTTTTACTTTCTTTTTCTGTTAAATTTCCCTTTGAAGCACAACAAATTTTGCTTAGACCTCATGAAGCCAAAGAAGGGATTATATGCTATTGTTTTCATTGGTGGCAGGAATAACTCATTTGTATGTTTAGATTCAGTCTTTCTGAATGTAGACGGACCCGTGTGAGCGTTAAGCTCTTGGGCAATGGCTCCACTTTTCTGTTGGAAACACACTGAATGTGTCTCGTTTCACTCATTTCTGTGTATTTTTGTCCGAAACCCTCGAATTTAGGAATATATGGCAATGGGTTCATTAAAATATCAGAAGTTGCAACATTTGTTCCAGAACCAACAAAGCAGTGATACCAAAAGATCACAGACTATCTTGTGAAAATACACACATATTAACATCTGAGAGCTATTATTCTCCTCAGTTAAAAATGGAAATCATAAAAGCTGAAGGCGCTGACTTCAGCAAAGTGAGCTGCGTCTGCTGGCTTATATGAAAGACTTCCTGTTCTGTATTTTTTAGTATATATTTATATTTTTGGCACTGTTCAGACTTGGAACACCTTCAGAACTGAACCTATTATGACCTGGAACCTCTTGTTTGACTTTTGACCATCAGCAATCTAAATTTTGATTTTTGTATTACTAATATAATAACTTAAATTCTGCCCCCAGCTCCGTATGTGAACTACATCCAGAAGGATCCAGGTGCGCCCTGCTCCTTAACGGAGGCACTGGAGTTCCTTCAAGTTGACATCCTGGGAGACGTCATAGAAAAGGACAGCATGGCTTTAAATCAGAATCAGCCTCCCAAAAACAAACCTCAAAACCTCACTGTGGTCGCCATGGAGGGTTGCCACTCCTTCATCATTCTGGACTGGGCCCGGCCTCTGAAAGATGATATGGTGTCAGGTAAGAGATGATTTTCCAGAAGAAGTGGACCTAAAGGGAAATAGTTAGGCTATTTACTAAACTTTTATTAAACAACACACCGAACATAACTGAAAAAAACTACAAAATAATAAAATCTAAATAAGATGTTGATATTTAAATGAAAAGTTCAACATTAAATGATTAACTATTACTATTATCATATTAAGGCTGTTATAACAAATCTGCAAACAAGCTAAGTTTTGAACGCAAACACGGTCACAGAACACTTCCAAACTGTGTGCGTTTATTTATTTATTTTTTGGGACTCTGTTAGTTTGTCCTAAAGTTGGCGTGGTAGCAGCCGGCTGTTTCTCCTTCTCTGATATTATTGAGCGGAGGACCTCTCACACCAGTGCTGTTCTGTTGCTAAATACGAGAGAGCGTAAAGAATGGAGGACCCAGGAAAGTGCGGCGGCTTGGCGAGACCATAGACCTATATGCTGGACGTAGGACCACCCATTTCTCTCTCCTCTATTTTGAGGTAACATCAAATCTGTGCGGTGTCACTACCATTTTAGGTGTGTCACGTCTCGTCATGCTCAGACAATCCAAGAATCCCTCCTCCGCCACGATCAGAGATCAGCGGGACATTAGCTGCATGCTAACCTGAAGCTAACGGAGGTTTTCGGGCACTTTTAGTGAGACACATGTGGTTGAATGACTCCAAACGGATGCAACATCAACTCAAAGAGCTGCAGTGTTTCTGTGATCTCCCTTAGAAAGCTCCACAGCAACCAGCATAACTACAACCTCGCATGGAAGCCAGGTGGCCCCGGGAGACAGGAGCGGGCGGCCACCTGTGTCTAGCAGCTGTTCCTGGCCCGAGACAGGAGTGGCTGGGCGCCCGCATTGCTGAGCTGCCTCCAGGAGGATGGTGCAGCAGAACTGCGGATTTCTGATTGCAGGACCGACGCTGCTAAAGGAAGAGGCTCGGCAAACCTCACAGCAGCAACCTTGTGGGTCTTAGACCGCAGTGGACCAGTGCAGCCCGGGAACTTCTGAAAGCCTCGGCCAGCTTTTGTTTCCCAGCCAGTCCTACCAACACATTATATTTCAAACCATCTTTGACCAAGCAGTGTTGCGTTCATTGCACAGCAAGCTAGTTAGGCTAGAACATTTTTGGAAAAAGCGATGGTGCTTCAAGACGTTTCACATCCTATCTTTCCTCTTTAATGCTATCAGAATATCATGTATGCTGAAAGTGTGTCTGCCTCCAAGATTTTCTCAGAGCAGAAGCCCAGAAAAGCTTGAAAAAGTCTGTTTCCTCAGTTTGTCATTCATTGTGGTTCAGCAGGTATGTTTAACATCTCACCAGCATCCCTCTGGGCCCACATTTTAAGAACTCACTCCAGAAGTTTATTGTGAAAAACCCAAATCTCCCTGAACTCACGGAAGAGTTGCTTACTCCCACTGTTTCACATGGAAAACTGAAAAATGTCTGACCCAGAAACCGATCTACAGAAAATTGGTAATTGAAGAAAACAGCCCAAAACAAGAAATCTGGCCCGAGGAGGAGAACCGTGCTTCTTTTAGAAGAACAGCACAAAGTCCAGCTTCATCCTCCGATGTTTAAAACAGACACCATCCTGTCACGGCTGCTTTCTTCATTACGGTCTTTCATTTTTCCTCTCCTCTCATAAGTTAGTCTGAACCTCTCCTTTGAACCGTTTAGTTGTTTTTTATTAGAAACAGAAATAATAGATTTCTAAATCTTGATTTGGCTTGTTTTGCTGTGGCACCGTGTTTTTTTCTTCATTTAAGACACAAAACCGAGTCAGGGCATGTCACACTGTCATATTTCATGCAATAATATTTTTTTTCCACAAGCTAATTTCCAGAATTATTTTCTCAATTAAAAAAAATGTGCAGAGTTTGCACAATCCAAAAAAAGTTTGAAAGATTTTCTTGTTTATTACTATTTAAATGTTATGTTGAGTTAATATAACATAAATCCCAATGCATTTGAAAGTTAAAATGATCAGCTTTCAAGGATCCAAAGACGAGCTGTGTTTGCACAGCCATGCCTTGAAATTTGTGGACCATAGCTTTTTGAACAAGTGGATAAAAACAGCTGTCTGTGCTTTTCACCTGAAACCAAGACCCATTTATCATAATGCAAGATGAGTTTTTCCTTCAAGGTTCTGGTAAAATTCTTCACAAAGCATTGCTTTTGGCTCGTGGTGCAAGTCAACCTTAGTGTTCAAAGCAGAGATGCAGATGGCAAATCGGAGAGCCTTTTTGAAACTTGCAGTTTAAGAATGCACAATAAAGGAAAGAATGAACATCCAAATGGAGAGGGACAGAGAGAAGGAACAGCTTGTCTTTCCCTTCTGCACAGTGAGCATCCAGTGATGTTGGTGCAGCTCCAGTAAAAACAGAAAGAAAACTCAAAAGTCTAATAGAAACGGTTGATGGGTTGATGTGCGGAAGAGCTGGTCTCCATAGTTTTTGGATGAATGCTAAAAGGCCACATGACCTCAGAGTCCTCTCTGGAATCTGAAGATTTGTCTGCGTGGCTGAAGTCAAAGAGGAAACCAGCAAGAGGAGCTGGCAGGTTGGAGAGATTTAAGCAGGAGATGCAGATTTAAAAATAAATAAATCTGGTGATGCTTTTTTAAACCATCTGTGAAAAATTATGTAACTCTTTTCAAAAACATAGTTTTTTACTGGGATTCTTACTGTTTGTTTTTGCATTACTCCCATTAAGGCTACATGGTCCATAGTGCATCATATGATGATGTCCTTAACAACAGGTGGTCCACCAGAGCTTCCAGTGGGACACATCTGCCTGTGGAGAATCTCAAACCCAATTCCAGGTAACACACACCGTATTTGCTTTTTTCCCAGCGCTGCACACTTCATGCACAATACAATGCTAGGGCTAAAGTTCGTTTTCAGTTTTTAAAGGCCAAGTTCAACTGTTTTTTACTTGTTATTTTTGAAATATGATTGGTCACTCTGAGTTTCACGCTAAATGTAAAAAGAGTCTCCTACACCTGTTTCCTGCATTAGCCGTGATTGGAAAATAGACAGGGAAACTCTCGGATTGGAAAAGCCAGTTCATTCCACGTCACATTGCTAAATTAACATGGACTCACCCATCTTGACTCGCGACGGGGACGGCTGTACAGAGCACATCTCGGCTAGTAGAGGTTAACCGTTAGCATTAGCAACTCCACAAGATGGCAGAACTCCTTCGGGGTGTTATTCGTGGAGATAAATCATCAGCGTTGCGAAATAGAGGCGTTGGTAGAGTCGTGTTGCGGTTAGCCAATCAGACGCGAGATGTCCGAATATCAGGAAATAATGAGTGAGACTCTAAATCCTGCCCTGTTCTTATCACCGCCCTGGCTCACATCTCTATCCTGAAACAGGAAGAGGAAAGCTTTTTTTCCCACAGAGACTGAGGCCTAGTCCACACGTAGCTGGGTTTTTTAAAAACGAATATCCGCCCCTCCAAAAACTTGCATCCACACCACCTCGTTTTAAAAAAAAAACTGTCCACACGTACCCAGATAAATACGTTGTTAAGGACATGCCAGACCTGTAGGTGGCAGAACTTCCCCCGTTCTTAATCTCGTCCTTCGTCTGTGGTCTTCTGCAAGGAGCAGTGATTCCGCTTGCAAAAACAAACAAGCAAAAAGCGCTTGGACAATTGATAAAGCGAGCGCAGCTCTGAGGACATCCATGCTGTCGGCTAGTGTAAACACAGGTCGCACATGTGATGTCAGCATTTTTTTGTCGCGGAAAGTGACGTTGCAGACCTTAAAACTCCGGTTTTGTCTGTCCTCATGCAGACACCCAAAACGGAGAAAACGCAGATCTTCACTTTGGCCGGAGTTTTTAAAAAGATCCGTTTTCGTGTGGAAAAAACTCCGTTTTCGTGTGGATGACAGGCCAAAACGTAGAAAAATATCTACGTTTTGGCAGATCCCCGGCTACGTGTGGACAGGGCCTGAGTCACTGGGCCAAAATTCACACTAGGCCACTGCTAATTTGTTGAAAAAAGTGAACTTGGTCTTTAGGAAGTAAAAGGCATAAAAGCAATGATCTAGTTTTAATACATTTACTTTGAAGATTCATTACGCATAAGAGGACATCTGTGTGACACAAAGTTTGATCAAGTGTCTCGTAGATTTCTTTTCTCATATTACACAGATGTAGGCTAGGTCACATCTAGAAAAAATTGGATGCACGTCAATTGTGAGTGAGATTCTTTAGAGCTGAGAAATTATTCATCTGTGGAAATTAAACTTGAAAACGTGAGGCAAATAAAACATATTTGATTGTGACGTTACACGCTATAAAACCCCATCGAGGGTTGAGTGGAACGTAAACACTCCACATCTGATACTTATTCAGCGATGCAGTCCCTTTCTGCTCTTGGAGTTTCCAAAAACCATGTCTTACGAGAGACGGGTCAGGGATTTTCACAGGTTTCTGAATATTCTAATGGAAACATGGACCCAAGAGAGCTGCTGCTGGAGCAGAGATTCGTTTTCATCCACCTGCTCTTCCGCCTAAAGATTTTCAAACCTGCTTGTCACTGTGTTTGGACCTGTCTCTCACAGCTGATATTGCCATGGAGACTTTAACTAATTAATTAACTTCTTAAAAGGCAAGTCATGTCATAATTTGTAAGGCAGGGTAGTTTTAATTGTATAGCACATTTCGTACACAGAGGCAGTTCAGTGTGCTGTCCAGGAGCAAAAACAGCCAAATCAGCATGGCAGCATTATTAAAATAAGCAAATAAATAGATTTAGACCCCATTTTTAAAGGTTTTGGTATGAACCGATCGTGGGTTTGAACCGACAATCTCGCATTCTCAGTGCAGACACTCATACGAATAGGCCACTGAGCTGGTAAAAGAAGATATAAATGATATAAATGCCTAACCAGGGACAAGGGCTGTAAATTAGCTTCAGGCCAGAAGCCTTACTGCATCTGTTGCTTATGGTGATGATGTTTTGTTGTACAGTCCCTGTAAAAATAAAGCACTATACAATACAAAAGACCCAGCATAAGAAACATTTATTCAAAGGCAGAGGATTACATAAATATTTTCAATTTTGATTTAAGTGACTAAAGTTGGGGCACATTTGAGGTCATGAGGAAGCTGATTCCTTCTGTGTGCAGCAGAGCAGCTAAAAACAGCTTCACCGTTTCGCTCTGACCCGGGGTTCCACCAGCTGACTGTTTCCTGAGGATCTCAGAGCCCTGATGGCTGTATATACTGCAAGGAGAGCCTAAAAGTGACTCAGTCCCATGTCTCTGAGTGATTTATAAACTAGTAGAAGCACTTTAAAATGGATTTTGTAGTTTACTGGTAACCAGTGTCGAGATTTAAAAATAGGAGTGATGTGCTGGGTTCTTGTTAAGACTCTACTCTGGCGCTTATCTTTTTATCTTGTCATGTAAATTTATTCCTAGCGCATTCTTTTATAGCAATATAGCTAAATGGTTGGTGTAGCCTCCTGTCTTTCTGATACATCGTATGCACAATAGACCTATATAGTTCTTTAACTCATGCTAAAAAGCCAAATAAAAGAGTAGACTAGACTTTATTAAATCCAAAGTGGGGACATGCACTCTTTAAAGCAGCACGTACACTTAGAGAACAGGAAAAAACAATACAGGTAAATACACAAAGCTGTAACTTTGGTAGTTTTAACTCTGACTGATCCACATGGATCTTTTGTGCATGTCACCTAGTGTTGACTGTGTTCGTTGGTTTTTAAGGTTAACTTCATTTGTTGCAATTTTATTGACTTCGTTTTTAAAACACCTTCTGTTCCAGTAAAAGTTTTAACATAAGTTTTAACCAGGTGTTTTATGTCAATGAATTGTTTTAGAACTTTTATCAACTTTGTGGATTTAGAAACACCTTCTGTTTTGGTGAAACTTTTATTAAGTTTTAACCAGGTGTTTTTAATGTTGGTAACTGCTCTTTTAATGTTAACCTTTTTGAGTATTTTTGTTTAGCATTATTTTAATAATGCTCGCCATCTGTTTGCTTGTGTTTTTAATACCTTTTTGTACAAATAAACCCATTTTAAACTCCTCCGCCAAATTTTATGTTATCCCCATCCTTCACATTTTACCATCTCATGTCGGGGACGTAACATAAATGGGGTTATTGCTGTAACCTTCGGCAAGATTAATGAATAAAAATAAAAAATCGAGTTTCCAAAGACAAACAGCATAAAAGGTATTGCACACATACTGAATACAGCGCTGATGTTGGCGTGTAAAAGGATAATGTCAGTAACTGTTGACGTGTCCTTTACAGCAACACTTTTCAACTCTGAAGTTTTAAATGTCTCAGTTGTCTGGCTTTAGGATTTTGAACTCCGGTTTTACACTCTGGCTACCTTCACTTTCTCCCTTTAGCCTCTTCTTGCATGACATCATCTCTGTGCAGCTGCACTGCTTTCTCATCTCTCATTTAGGGAAACATTTTTGGTAAGTGCTGTCATATGACGGGCGTGATTAGATCCAGGCTTTGTGGCTGCATGTGATCATACCTTTTGAGCAATAAGTGTTGGACCATGAACTTACTGTATACATAAAAGGCCTTGGAATAAAAAAAAACTCATTCATGAAGCTATCATCTATGATGGAAAATTTAGCAAGCACTTGACGTTGTCACTGGTGTTGTTTTTTATGTGATACGGTTCACTCAGGGTTTTTGTTTTGCCCTTCAGCAATGAAACTTGTGACAAAGAGTCAAGTTCCCAATCAGAAAAGTGTTTTTCCATTCACAGTTATTATTTCTCCGTCTCACTTTTTCCTTTTCGCTGTCTATACATGTGTCACTGTTAATCGCTTCTTTTTCCTCACTTCCTTAAACAAAGTGCTGCTTTAAAGTGCCGCAAAAGTTTCGGATACAAGCAAGTAAAAACTTAAGAATCGGATCGACTAAAGCGGGCCAAGCCATCTGCTGAGCTCATTATCATTTGCAATCAAAATGACACTGGCAGGATGACAGCTGAAACAGTGAAACTCTTGTTAAACTCGGGTGTTGTTGTCTGTTCTGAAACAGGTACTACTTCAAAGTTCAGGCCAAGAATGTGTTTGGTTTGGGACCGTTCAGTGAGACACTCACCTATGTAACTGAGTCAGGTACGTCTGCTGATTTGTACCTCAACAAGCTGTATTTATTGGAGATAAAATGTATGTTTTATAATGCATGATGGTTGATATGAACACCCTATTGGCAAATCCTGGATTTTTATTCTATAAAACAAATTCCTCTTTCAGATGATCCGTTCCTTATTGAAAGGCCACCTGGTAAGTCTGTTCATTCGAAATCAACATGCAACACAATGTGTGTTTTTATTAGGCTGTACCAAGGTTCTAATATAAAGATATTACTACCTTTTTAAAGGTTTGGAACACTGAAAACCCTTTTTAATTATTATTTCTGGTTATAATTGGTCATTCTTAGTTTTTCATGCAGGCTGAACATGAAAACAGTCTCCTATACCTATCTCCTGCATTAGCCTCTGATAGGAAATGGACGATGAAACTCTAGGATTTGAAAAGCCTGACAGATCTACGTCACACTGTCACTTAGCATTCACTCTGAAGATGTCCAAATATCAGAAAATAGGACTCCAAAACCCACAAACATCATACAACTAAACCCGACGTGGACTGGCGCTGCCTATTTTGAGCTATCATAACAGAAGTCCACCATCTTGGATAGGTCTCCATTTACCCTCAGTGCATTTATTTCTACTGAGAAATGTGTTTACCCAACTAAAAAACACATTTTATTATGCTTTTTCACAAAAATCAGGCATATGGTATGGCATGATAATTAAAATATGAATATAATGAATAAATTAAAACCTTTAAATCATTCCAAAAGGTAGATTACAAAGGTCCTATGTGATCTGTTGTCAATATTGTGCCGGTTGTTGCAACTGTGGGGGACACAGTCCAAAAACAATATTACGCTATATTAAAAAGACACTGGTTGAGCACTAGGACCAAACGGAAAACAGCTGCTTGTGTTGAAGCCTGTTGCCTTCCATAAGCTCATCTATTCGCTCTGCTGATACTTGCTAATGTGTGATTGGCTGTTCCTGCCACCTGTGTACTGACATTGCATAAATGAGCTTCTAGGCTGTTGTTTTATACATATTTTTGTATACAAACTGTAAAGCCCCCCACCACCACCCACGGTCCTCATGCCGGTTGTGTCCTCCCCACTTCTAAAGTCAAAACTACACCCATGGTTGTCCACCCTGCATTGACTCCAGTAAGGTTTGGAGAGTGAGGAACCCATCCAATATGGCGACGACACTGTTACCTTCTCCAGTGCCCAATGGAAATCTATGTATTTGTGTCATATGAAGCACAACTGTGATGTTTCCTGGAAACAATGCACCGGTATACCCCCCACCCCCACCCCCGAACGACTTACGAGGTATTTGTTCCTACTAGAGACCACTGCAAATGTATTGATTAAATGAGTGTCCCACACCTTTAAACAATACGAAATTAAATTCAAAGGCTATTTGCTTTAACCAACTCTTAAAATATTAAAACATGCAAGCCAATATTCTAATGACTCTAATTTAGAAAGCCTTTGATCGCAATGGTACACACTTCAGTGCATAACAGTAGTTTACTGTAGTAACATGCAAATTTGTTATAATTCCAAATTAATGTTTTAGTTTCTTAAAAAAGTAGCAGTTATATAATTTCTCTGTGCACAAGCTACATATGCATATAAATGACGTGAGGCTTTTCTTGCATATGAATTTTAATATTCTTGGCTCTCAGGTGGAGAACCAATCTGGATCCCGTTCACCTTCAAGTACAACCCGATCCACAGCAGCTGTAAAGGCAGCCAGTATGTGAAGCGGACCTGGTACAGGAAGTTTGTGGGAGTCGTTCTGTGTAATTCGCTACGCTATAAGATCTTTATGGGAGACGGTCTGAGAGGTGACCCTTCACATGACTTTTTTCTGAATAACAGCTTTGATTAGTTGAAAGTTTTTAACCATGTCCTTCTTCTTCCTCCACAGAACCCTTTTACAGTATAGGTGATTCACTCGGTCAGGGTGAAGACCACTGCCAGTTCGTGGACTCCTACAGGGATGGAAGAACCGGCCCGGTTGACTTTTCGAATAATCTCCCCTCAGCACAGGGTAAATAAAAACACATGATGCAAATATCTGCTTTGTGACTTGAACTATTATGTCTAACTTATCTGTTTTCATGCAGTCTGGTTTCAAATGGTTCTGTTGCTGGCCAGCAGGCTTGATTTTATCAAAGCAAACAGAAGCTGTTTAATGTTTATTTGTCTGTTTCTCAAAAAAATCATTTTAATCACTCCACAACAGATCCGACTAGTGATATTACTTCCTGGCAGCCATTAGTTCCAGATCATAAAGAATAATGCTTTCAAAACTACTTCAAAAAGGGCTAATGAATCAATTACTTAAAGGAGTAGTGTATAAGAATAATGTAAGAATTCTACAGTGAAATAATCCGAAAAGCATTCAGTCTCAATCATGTTGGAAGGAAGGTTAAACTCAAACATATTTCGTTCTCCGCCGGCTGCATGGGTTGTCAATTTTTCTTCCTTCAAAGTTAAGGAAGGATGGACGTAACTCCTGTTTACCATCGGTGAAAGCGAGGTTGTTGTGTCTCCTGTAAGCTAGCGCTACAGCGCCGGCATTTGGAATTCAACTACTGCTGGAAAAAAGCTTCAGAGTTGTTCAAAGAACCAAAGCTAGTAACAAGAGTGACCCAAAAGTACTTTCTTGTACCCCTGAGAAGCCACAGCATCTTTTTGTTTATAGCTGGTAAAGACGGCTGAAGGCTAACGTTGAGCTAACAATGCTAACGATGAATTAGAAACAAATAGTTGTCCGTAAAAGTATCTCAAGCTACTTTTTCAATGACCAACAACTTCATATAACCGTGAAATGTATACGTGAAGTGAATAATGAGTCATTTTACTTGCTTACATGAGTTGTTCAGAGTAATAACAGCAAGCTACCAGCAAGACAGCAAAATACACTTCCTCTATGCTGTAGGCATATTACCATAATAAGTGTACTAAATGCTCCCAACTGTAAAACTCCTAAGAGTGCTAGCACCAGATATGACAATGTATTTATTTACCTATCAATTTACTGTGTATGACTCATCTTTGCTTGTCATCTAGAATCTTATCTGCTGATCTGTCACTGGCAACAGCCATGAACCTTGCAGAGAGAGAGTGAGAAAATGATTACAGTAACCAAATTTGACCACAGGATGTCATTCTTACTTCTATCCTACATATTGCTCCTTTAATGCAACAAACATTTAAAAGTTTTCTTGCTGTTTTGTTAAACATAATTTGGAATCCTACATATAGCACAACAACAAAGAAGCCAATTTATTTATTTATTTTCATTTCTTGCAATTTTGGTTGTTTTATAGTTCAGACCTGAAAACGTAGCTTAGACATGAACTATAAACAGGTAAATCCATTCATTTGGGTGCAGATTAGCATCAGATTACTTAAAAATGCTAATATCGTGACTATGTTATTCTTTTTGAGCAAATTTAAAGCAACCAAATGAAGAATTAATTTATTTTTGTTCAAATGTACTCTCGTTGATAAACAGCTTTGCTGTAAATCGTACACTAAAACAGATTTTACTTTCTGTCTTACAGGATATTACCGTGCTTACAGACAGGAGCCCGTTACATTTGGAGTTGTTGGTCGACGTACAGCCTATCCCTTTGTAGGCTGGTATGAATGTGGAGTACCCATCCCTGGGAAGTGGTAACTTGGAAGGGAACAGCTCCGCTTCCTGCTGCAGGCTCTCACCTGTTAGTTTCCTTTTAAAAACAGACTTTTGCCAGCAAGCACAAAAAGACACCACTACAACTTTATTACAGCTTTACACAAAGAGAACATAGTACTTTTTAACAGCTAAATGTATAATTATGATGCACTTTTTATATAAAGCATTCTGTATATGAGGGGAACAAAAAGAAGCTTGTATGCTTTTGCTTTGCTTAGGTGTCCTTATATTATTTCCAGAGTCAGGTCCTTACCCAGTGTTATTTATCTCATCAGTAATGGACACACATTCGATCGGTCCAGTCACACTGGACCAACGTACAAGCTGTAAAGCAAACTGTACAAATAAGTGCTTAAGATGTGTATAGCTCTGTTCTTGTTTCACTTGTATAACAGCTCTTGACAGCTACTTGTTTGTCTACTTGTGTTCTGATATGATAAACATTTATTTTGTTTGTTTTAATGTCTTCCAGAGTTCATTCAAAGTTAATGTGTGAGGGTTTTTATGTATGCGAACAAAAATAGAATACCAAATATTTGCTCAGGAAATATGAATAAAGGTGCTATGAAAACAACAGCAATCGAAAAACATCAATCATACTTTTTTTCCTCCTTCTGCTGCCACATTCTTTTCTAAAAATCCCTCCACATGTAATCCAGATCTTCTTTATCAGCCTGATGGAAAATCTGAGTGAAACGCACAACTTGGCAGAGCCAGTCCCAACACAGTGTTATGATCTAATGAGATGTCAAACCAATAGATCATGGAGTGAAAAACATAGCCACCACTACAGCGATGAAAACCCTGATTCAGAAAATTCCCAGTCTACGGGTCTACCGGCTCTGGTGGTGAATTTCAAAATACTTTTTTGAATCAAACATTTCCCCAAGGAGGACAGTTATCTGAATAAAGCTGATAAATGGTGGGGTGAAGTGAAAAAGATGAAAACGTATCCAAAGAAAACTGAAAAGGAGGAATGTTTCATTTCACCTGGGAAAAGGTCTGCCAAAGACCACGCTGGAAAATTGGAAAGAAGGAAAACAACGCTGGAGGCTGATGGTTGTTCTGAAGATGTTGCTCATACCCACCATCCAATCTCAACCAACCAAAGAAGACTGCCCTACATCCAATCAGAGAGAGACCTTTAGCAAGGGCCACTTGCTAAGAAAGTTCTTCCTCCTTTGTCCAGCAAACTCATGTGGAAAACCAAAGCCTGGCCTTTCTCATGTTTTTTAAGGCGATTCTTAGACAAGTGGTTTAAAAGTGGATGTTAATGTACTTGTATTATTTAGTTCTTTAAATAGTTGTGTATATGAGTTTTATTAGTATCATCGTCATTATTGTTATTATATTATATTATATATTATATTATATTATATTATATAAATATTATATATATTGTACATATTATATTATATTATATATATTGTATATATTATATTATATTGTATTATCTAAAGCTGAATAAATATTTAACTCCTATTTTAAAGATGTGGAACACTGAAATCCCATTTTTTATGATTATTTCTGATTTGTAGGCTAAACATGAAAATAGTCTCCTACATCTATCTCCTGCTTTAGCTTCTGACAGAAAACTAACTGAAACTCTAGGATTAGAAAATCCCGACAGATCTACGTCACACTGTCACTTAACATTCATGAACTCACCATCTTGACTCGTGACGGAGAAGGCTGTTATTGGTTCAGCATCCAGGAAACAGCAGAGAATGGCTAACAGAAGCTAACCCATACCCATACCACACAGCCGAACTCTTCCAGGCTTGAGTTATTTGTGGAGTAAACATCAGTGCTTCAGAGAAAACAGAGTAAGTGGTAGAGGGTCATCATTGTTTCCAGTCCAAGGCGAGATGTCCAAATATCAAGAAATAAGACTCCAAATCTGTCGTCTGGAGCTACTTTCTCCTCCAGCTGACTTGTACTTCCTGAAACAGACGAATCTGAGTCTTTTTTTCACAACTTACAAGGCATTCATTCCCACTAGAGACCACTGAATAAATGACTTCCACACCTTTAAAACCACTTCACAGCCCCCTCTTATCTCTCTGAGCTATTGGTGTCTTATATTCCAGCCAGAACTATTAGGTCTGCAGTTGTAACGTAGCTCAAGGCCTGTATTTCACCAAAATGACCAAAAGTTAACTTCTCTTTATGCAGGTCATGACAATTTGACCTATCCTAGTCCATACCCAACTCATGACCCGATTATGAAGAATTTTAAATGTCCAATGACAGATACTCCCTGATCACACATGTCTTAGACAACTGCGATTATCGTTGGTCGGCGCTGGCTAGTCAACACCCCGCGAGCGAGGCCGGCGTTTACTATGATCACCACGGCATCTCTACTCAGAAACGGTGCCGCTGTAGGGATCTCTCCTTTCTGTGATAATATTGCCTTTGCTCTGTCTCCTGCTACAAGGAAACATGTTATGTTGGACGGTCCGACCACAGTTCCAGTTAGTGCTGTAGGCAGGGTCCTGCGTGAGCTTTCTTTAGGTACTGGCCTCTGCGACTGACTCCTGGTCCTCTTCTGACTCTGTTATTTTCCTCACAACATGTTTCTATTGCTGCCTGACGCTTGGACTGGCGTTCGCACTATTCCATCACTTCTCCGCACAGTTGACCCCTGTGGGGGCCTCGCAGGGTCGCAGGGCAGCTGTCTCCAGGCATGCAGGCGGGGTACACCCTGGACAGATTGCCAGAGCACACACACACCCACACCTAAGGACAATTTAGAGAGACCAATGAACCTGGCAGCCATGTTTTTGGACTGTGGGAAGAAGACCGAGCACCCGGAGAGAACCCACACGTGCACAGGGAGAACATGCAAACTCCATGCAAAAAGACCCAAGGTCAGGATTTGAACCCAGGACCTTCTTGTTGCAAGGCAACAGCACTAACCACTGCACTACTGTGCAACCCATATTATAAAATAGATTAAAACCACCTTCCTTGACCTGAACCATAATACTAATTGTCTCATCTTAATGAAACTCAGTTCAGTGTGGTGTGGATGCAAATTTTTGGAGGGGTGGATATTTGTTTTTAAAAAAAAACAGCTACGTGTGGACTAGGCCTAAGTTCACAAAGTTTGATTTGAATTGTTGTGGAGGAGTGATAAGCAGTCACTCCTAGCATCTATTTATGATAAACAAGGACGCTGAGTCTTTGCTTATTTCATTGAGTTTTATCATGTCTGAGCGCCTATAGTCCATTTACTGCTTTTCTTACTATGACAACCAAAAGAAAAAATATTTTATTTCTCTTCAACAGGAAGTCCTCCTTCTAGAGGTGCAAGTGGACTGCAGAATCTTCGGTAGACGTCTGTGGATGAAGCAAATCGTTGATGCTTTAGATTAAAAAAAGGGCAAAAGGCAACATTTGCTTGATTGCATCCAGACCTGGCTGACTTTATGAACCCAGCTACTTCTCCTTTCCAGACAGCTACTCTTGAAACTCTTCCATTGATAAAGAAAGACCTCGTTTCCATGTGTTTGACCGTAACGCTAAAAAGGAACACTGGAATCTCAAAAGAGGGGGAAAATTCATCCAGCAGCTTTCCACTTGCTAACATTTTGTTTACTTGTTTTATTTAGCTGTTCACGATTTTGGCTAAAACTGCTCGGTAATAACCGAGCTGAAATCACCACAAAAACTGTTGAAAAATGAAAATAAAGTGTTTTATTTGGACGTGTCTGCACCGCATTATTTGTCTCACGACAGATTTGTTTCCTTTACACGAAGCAGATTTGATTGTTTTCTGCCAGAAAAGTTTGCTTTAGCATTGTGGTTTATTATGTAGGGAGTTGCTGCGTTTGATAACTGTGGAGGTCTGTGGAGTTGTGACAAGCAAGCAGCATCTGGAAATGTCCGATCTTTTGTGCGTTGCACACTCATGTTTTTCCTCCAGTGTAATGTGGACATAATAAAAAATAATGAGTAAAAGACAACAAAAACAGAATAAAAAAACATGGGGATTTTGTAGTTTTACATTTTGCATTGTGTGGCTAAATGAGCAGATGCACAAAACAGCAGAACTCCTAACAAACATTGTCCCATCTAAAACTGGCCCCCTTTCCACTTGATTTTCTGAGCCTTAAGAAACATATTCAGTTCTTTTCTTGATTTTTAAGGCAGCTATGCATAATTTTTAGTTGTACACATAATAATAAAAATAATAAACTACGTATTTATGCTGTGAAAATGTGACTAAAATGTGAACCAAACTTCAAAATGGACTGAGTTAAAAATTTCCCCAAGCCCCTTGCTTCAGGAGGAACTTTATTGCTGTTTTGTGAATCTCAAAGGATACGCTTTTTCAAAAACTCCCCATTTGTGACATCACAAAAGGGTAAAAATAAATAGAATCACCTCTCACTTGCAGAGGGCTGCTACTGGAGGAGCAGCAGCTCTACTCCAAGCCCCTCCAGCAAGTTTCTTGGCTTATAGCAGCATGAAGAGTTGGGTGGGCGTGGCCAGCTTCAGCTTGTTGTCTTCTAAGTGATGGTGTGCATTTCCCCTGGCAATGGGGGCAGTACATACCTAATTTATTGCAAGCAATAAGTGTTTTTATGTTCAAGTAACACCTTACCAACAAATGGTCATTAGAGCACAAATCCCAGGGAGCGTAACCTCCAGCAAAATAACGTGCTCATCAGACTCTCTGCCATACTGGTGACGAGTGAAGAGGTAAATGTGTAAACAACAATGTTTATGAATGGCCAAAGTTTTGTAACCATTTGTTACAAATCAGTAAATGCGCTTTGTTCTCATGCGCTCCCGTAGAAGGAAGCGTGGTGTCTAATATGGCGTCGACCGGAGACTCAGACCTGCTCCCGTTTATTTTAGATCTTATTTTCATGGTCACATGTTACGAAGCCGCCAATATTTTTCTACAGCTGGGCATCAATTCATTTATTTACAACAACATTCCGATTGATATTTCTGGAGATTAATGGTAAAAACTACACATTGTTACTTTAACGTGGCTCATTCTGGAAGGTACTGAAACTGAACAAAACTGCTGATATCACTTTATGTGAGAGGGATTTTCTGTAAAGAACATTACGAACATGTTTGGTATTGATCTTAGAACTATTTGTTGTTTTAGAGGGCAAAAATGCTGCTGTAATCAAAGTTTTTTTCTAAGTAGTTTGCAGTTAGCTTGGCTCACAGGTGTGACACAGACTACAACTTTAAACAGCCCACTTCAAAAAATAAGGCCATATTCTTTTAATTGAGCTTGAATCAAAAAGACACTTTTTTTGTCACTACTCTGATTTCATTGTGAAAACTATAAACTCAGCCGACTGTATTTACACCGTTGGCTCTGAGAAAGGTCAATGATAGAGATGAAGAAGCTGCACAAATCTATTAGGCAAAATCTGAGCATTGATCTGATCTGCTTTTTTAAAAAAAGCAAGGAAAACCCGGTTGTCTTTACACACACACACACACACACACACACACACACACACACACACACACACACACACCACAAGCAGTAAAAAGGAGATATATTTAAAGTAAACCAATTTCCAGGTAATCAGGCCAGA